GTTCAATAAATAATGTCCTGAACTGTATGACATAAATTACAGATATCATATGACATTGAACTTGACCTTCTCTCATTATTGAATCTTTACTGAATTTATAACAGTTTATTTGACCACTTTTCAGCACATAGTTTCATCATGAGAAGCTGGGAGACAAGGGCTTTTCGAGACACTGCATTATAAATGAATGGTAAAGAATCAGTAAACTAGAGTGAAAATAAAAGCTACATTAAAGCTGCTGTAAAACTTGTTAAGAATCCCAAAGAAATATTCACTTAAATATGTGACATTTACAGCAACCGATGCCTGTTTTATAGACAAAGGAGCAGGTAGAATTCAATGATAAAAAATTATATTATGGGCATCAAAGATGGGTACCCTCCTTGCCAACAAAAATTATAACAACTCATGTACTGTTTGCCAAATTTCAACAAATAATATTTGATGATGTATAATTGACTTTAAGACATATAGCAAATTTGATAGACATCATATCGGGAGTAGTTTACACTGTTTTAAAGAAACGTTTGACAGTAAAAAAGCTTGGTAGTCAAAGGCCATCCTATATTCCTAAAAATGAGTGAAAACGACAGCGTGTACGAAAGTCTGAACAATTATTTTAAAATATCAGTAATTGTAGTTATCCACGTTTGTTTTATATTCAAACAGATATTGAAACATGATTCTATTGCTAAAAACCATCAAAACGAAATTTACCATAAGATGCACTTGATAAAAACGGCGAAGGTCTGACAAGAGCAAAGGTATGCAAGAGCACAAAGACAGATTTATATGCAATTTTCTTAAATATTAATGGTATTGTTGTTCAAATTCGTATTCGGGGAGACAGTTTAATATCTGGAGGAATCTAGAAAGCACTTTTTTTGCAAAAAAATAAAAAGGTTTATTAGAGGAAGGACCCAGAATCAGGAATCCACTACAATGAATTTCTTCACGACAGCGTCCAAACCCGCATGCCCTGAAGAGTAAAGGGATTTTCGGGATAAACAGAAAGTTAATGTTTTTTCACATTAACAATATTTGCCAGATCTTTGACCTTTTGACTTGTTTCTATTTCCAAACTTGAAAAAAAAAAACCTTTTAGAAGAAAAAAACAAGTCCGGGAAATCATTTGATCTGCCATTTTCCAGTATACTAAGGGTCATACCCAAAAATGAATTCTAAAAACAATCAGAAGTTGGATAAAAAATGTTACTTATATGTGTTTGAATTAAAAGAGATTAATAAGTAAAATCATGAAGACTAAACCATTGAAAAGCCCCGTTTTCTTCTTTCTAAGCACCGAGGACATTATTTATTGAACAGCCCTCGTAACTGCCCTAAGTGAAGAAATATTAATATAGAAAGCAAAAAGAAATTCACTTTTACATGGATACCCACTTCCGCCCCAGCCCGGGGTTGAACTCGAGACCTTCGGAATCTGTCTCCTAGCAGTTCAAGAACAGCGCGCTAGACCGCTCGGCTATCTAGGCAAGTCAAAAAACTTGCTTTCGATGCCGATGGAATTCTCGCGGCGCTGTTCTTGCACTTGCATTCCATCGGCATCTGCTAGGAGACAGATTGAGGTCGAGAGTTCATCCCCGGGATGGGGCGGAAGTGGGTATCCATGTAAAAGTGAATTTCTTTGTGCTTTCTATATTAATATTTCTTCAATTAGGGCAGTTATGTAAGTTTAGGAGTTGAAATGGTGTATATTCGCTCGGCAAGCCTCGCAAATATATACACCATTTCAACTCGTTGGATAAAGCCAATATATATATATATCACATTTCACAACAACTCCTAAACTAACATACATGTAACTGCCCTAAGTGAAGGAATATTAATATAGAAAGCACAAAGAAATTCACTTTTACATGGATACCCACTTCCGCCCCAGCCCGGGGTTTAACTCGAGACCTTCGGAATCTGTCTCCTAGCAGTGCAAGAACAGCGCGCTAGACCGCTCGGCTATCTAGGCAAGTCAAAAAACTTGCTTTCGATGCCGATGGAATTCTCGCGGCGCTGTTCTTGCACTTGCATTCCATCGGCATCTGCTAGGAGACAGATTCCGAAGGTCGAGAGTTCATCCCCGGGCTGGGGCGGAAGTGGGTATCCATGTAAAAGTGAATTTCTTTGTGTTTTCTATATTAATATTTCTTCACTTAGGGCAGTTATGTTAGTTTAGGAGTTGTTGTGAAATGTGCTTTATAAATAATAATTAATTTCGTTACAACATGTATTGGTAACAATCCTCTGTTAAAACTAATGTCCAAATAACTGTATCTCACTTCTATTCTCAATGGCGGTGTGGTGTAGGGCAGCGCCGCGAGAATTCCATCGGCATCGAAAGCAAGTTTTTTGACTTGCCTAGATAGCTGAGCGGTCTTATATTGCTAGGAGACAGATTCCGAAGGTCTCGAGTTGAGTTCAACCCCGGGCTGGGGCGGAAGTGGGTATACATGTAAAAGTGAATTTCTTTGTGCTTTCTTTATATATATATATATATATATATATATATATATATATATATATATATATATATATATATATATATATATACTTACTGAAAGAATGAATCGTTTAAACGTCCACATTTGGCCCCCCGATAATTTACAAAAAATCAGTTCAAAGATATCCTACATATTTCTGCCTCAATCTTTTCATCAAACATTGTAGTTTATTAATTTCATTTTCAATTTTCACTTACTTGCACTGTAATTGGGTATTTATCTGATTAATATAGCAGGGGTACGTTGTTTACATCGATTTCCCATAGACGTTAGGCCACACCCCCATTTTGAAAGCCCAATTTTTATATGAGCGCATAGATGTTTCAAGTTGTAGTAAATAGGGTCAATGTAAAGAGTTAAACTTGTCATTTTATTTCATGAAAGAAATTGAAACAGTCGTGCGCTCACTTGTTGTTTTCCAAAAAGGCAAAATCACGGGTACCTGTCCCTATAGTAAAGGCACCTTGTTTACAAATTTCAACCCGCCTTTGACCTCATGAATAACAAAGCATTAAACACGTGACTCAAATCTATTCACTTTCATGCTTTGAGCAGATCAATGCGACATCGTGTCCAGTGTTGCGAGCTATCGATGGTCAAATCCTTTTCAAATGGATAATTAGAATTAAATGTACCCTGGGATAAAATTTCTTTAAAACGGTATATTTAAGGCTTGTTAACATTTTTGATTTACTTGTTATTTCAGTCAATTTTGTTTGATTTTTTTCGGTATTTATCAATATATTTTAGAGGCTTTTAGCACAAAGCTTGCACTTACTGCTTGTATCTCATTAATACAGAATTTGAAAAAATATACTGAGAGTATATATATTATCAATTTGCCTTTCTTCCTAAATATACATGTACATGTACATCACATCAGCGTTACGTTCATTGACTCTTAGAAGATATAAAAAAAAATACGATCGTTATTTGAAAAAATATCAATTTCTTTAGAAAATAAACCGTTTGTTACAAATGCGTAATTCCATTTAAAGAAACATTACGGAAAAGAAATTGAAGTGTGAGGCATTAAAAAGATTTATATATCGGATAAAACACATTGCACAAAATGCACCCCTACATGTAATTAAACAGATGGAAACTCCGGGTTTCATCTGACGACACTACAAATGTTATAACTTTTTACATCGGCACAAAATCTAAAAACAATGAAAGATTTACATATAAATATTAGTATGTAACACAAAATCGAATGAAAAAGTGCGTATTTTTTTTTTTTGAAATGGTTTATTGTTTAACTCACTAGACAGGGACGTAGCAACCGGGGGGCCGGGGGGGGGGGTTGCCCCCCCCCACTTTTTTTCCCCAACATTACCTTTACTATAGTAAATGTTCATTGAAAGGATGGTTGGTCCCCCCACTTTATACCATAGTATAGTGATATCAAGGATTGTAGGGAGAAAAATTTGAAGTGATAGTAAGTTGGCTTCGAAAAAGTTGACCCCTCCCTCCCCACGAAATAGGATTTTCGAGTTTGGGCAACTTTTAATTTTTTTTTTTGCTTGTCAACTTTTTTTTCAGGCGATTAAAAAAAAATTTTCTCTGGTTGCCCCCCCCCACTTTCAAAAACGATACTACGTGCCTGCTAGAGGACGAGATTTTTTTAAACAATGCAATCTGGACTGTGTAAAGTACACTTATCTAACACTGATGTTTTTTTTTTATATCCAGCAGCGATAATATTGACGTTAAACTGACGTTTAATTTTCTCACTTTCTTGCGAATTTATTTTTCATACACTGAGTGAAGTTTTATATCACAATTCAACCGTATTTGTTGTAGCACACCAATTTCGCAAAATTATATATGTACATGATATGAAATAATTATTAACGTGAATGTAATAAGCTAATTAATTATAAGCTTTAATGAATGGATTATCATCTCTATAAAAATAAAGTTTAAGTATGATAAAGAGTCAATCCTGCATTATACGTTCTATTCACAAATTCCATTGTGTGTATTTATATATAAATAATCTGACGAATTTCTAATAAATAATTTAAAATATAACTCGTAAGTTAAGCAGAAAAAAATAAGCCTGACAAATAAAAAGGGATGCTTATGTGTTCGGTCTCTTGCACTAAGAAGGGGGCTTTTAGGTTTCACTTCATCATAAAACGTAATACACTTCAAACACACTATGTATTCATACTAATCGCACGCTTGATAGACGCCGCGCCTTCTCATTCATATGCTAGGACTACAATGATCTATATATAGCCGTAATGGCGAAGTTTTACAGTGAAATATGCGACTTTATTTAATCAATATCATGTATATATTGAAAATCTCTTTCACAAAAAATCCTTTATTAGTATCTATACAGACTATACTTGAAGACTTTAGCTATAAGATAACAATGTTCTTATTTAAAAGGGTAAAATTCTGCATTTAAAAAGGGGCGAAATTGCAGTGTTAAGAGGATTCATTCTTTTTTACAATAAAAAACTCTTCATTTGAACAATAACAATATATTTATTATATAAAGATAATATGACAACAGCAGCAAAGTAACAAAACAAAGATCATTTGTTCTAATTTAAATATATAAACTACGATAGAATATATTACTTCTATAATAAGTATTTTATTAAGAAGAATGAACGCACGCTTTCACACATACAAACCCTCACACACAATTTATGAAAGCTTAAACTTATAATGTAAGATCATGGACATGTACCTGCCTGATATATAGCATATTATCAAGCACCTTAGTGTTTGCTTTAATACAAATAAAAAGATATATCCAAAATATATTTTGGCGGACGGAAAAGATGATAATTGTGCGTAGACATGAACAAATACTCTGAATATTACGACTGGAAGAGATAAATATACTGGTAGAATACAAACAATGCACTCGTTGTACAGACATAGATTTATATATGGATATAAATTCCTCCTACAAACAATAAAATATGACATTCAGACACAAACAAATTAAGATAAGTACAATCTACTCCTAAAATGAATTAACTGTACGATAACATTAAACATTGAGCGTTATAAAATCTTTTTTTTAAAAATCAATCATAACATTTTATTGCACATCCTTGAAAAGGCCTTGATAGCATTTTAGTTGTTTCTATGGAATTCATAATGTTATTTATCTAATCCTTTCTACTTTGAAGATGCCATCAAGCTGTTGACTGATTTCTCTGTAAAATAAATTCTTCGTCTTAATATTTTAAAATGTCGCATCAATATATACATATACGAATACATGATACATTTTCACGATTATGTTAAAAATCATGTATAAAAAATATTTGAAAACAATGAATGCCTGATAAACATTGTATGTACAGTAATTGTTAAATTTGCTTTCAAATTTTGACACTTAAAAGAAAACAAAAGGCCCATGGGCCACATCGCTCACCTGAGTAACTTGGGTGATGCAGATCTTTTTTAAAGATTTGTTCTATATATATTTCTATGTAAAACTTGGATTCCCTATTGTGGCCCCGCTCTACCCCTGGGGGTCATGATTTTAATAATTTAATATCTACACTACCCAAGGATGCTTCCACGTAAGTTTCAGCTTTCCTGGCCCAGTGGTTCTTGAGTAGAAGATTTTTAAAGATTTGTAATAAATATTTCTATGTAAAACTTGGATTCCCTATTGTGGCCCCGCCCTACCCCCGGGGGTCATGATTTTAACAATTTAATATCTTCACTACCCAAGGATGCTTTCACGTAAGTTTCAGCTTTTCTGGCCCAGTGGTTCTTGAGAAGAAGATTTTTAAAGATTTGTTCTATATAGTTCTATGTAAAACTTGGATTCCCCATTGTGGCCCCGCCCTACCCCGGGGGGTCATGATTTTAACAATTTAATATTTACACTACCCAAGGATGCTTCCACATAAGTTTCATCTTCCCTGGCCCAGTGGTTTTTGAGTAGAAGATTTTTAAAGATTTGTTGTAGATATTTCTATGTAAAACTTGGATTCCCTATTGTGGCCCCGCCCTACCCCCGGGGGTCATGATTTTAACAACTTAATATCTACACTACCCAAGGATGCTTCCACATAAGTTTCAACTTTTCTGGCCCAGTGGTTCTTGAGAAGGAGGTTTTTAAAGATTTGTTCCATATATTTCTATGTAAAACTTGTATTCCCTATTGTGGCCTCGCCCTACCCCTGGGGGTCAGGATTTTAACAAATTAATATCTACACTACCCAAGGATGCTCCCACGAAAGTTTCAGCTCTCCTGGCCCAGTGGTTCTTGAGAAGAAGATTTTTAAAGATTTGTTCTATATAGTTCTATGTAAAACTTGGATTCCCCATTGTGGCCCCGCCCTACCCCCGGGGATCATGATTTTAACAATTTAATATCTACACTACCCAAGGATGCTTCCACATAAGTTTCAGCTTTTCTGGCCAGTGGTTCTTGAGAAGAAGATTTTTAAAGATTTGTTCTATATATTTCTATGTATAACTTGGATTTCCTATTGTGGCTCCGCCGTACCCCGGGGTTCTTTGATTTAGCAATTTAATATCTACACTACCCCAGGATGCTTCCATATAAGTTTCAGCTTTTCTGGCCCAGTGGTTCTTGAGAAGAAGATTTTTTAATGACCCCACCCTATTTTTATATTTTCTTGATTATCTCCCTTTGGAAGGGGTCTTGGCTCTTGATTTTAACAATTTAATTTTCCCTTCACCCAAGGATGCTTTGTACCAAGTTTGGTTAAAATTGGCCCAGTGGTTCTTGAGAAGAAGTTGAAAATGTGAAAAAGTTTACAGACGGACGGACGGACGAACGGACGACGGAGAACGGGTGATCAGAAAAGCTCACTTGAGCTTTCAGCTCAGGTGAGCTAAAAAGGGGAGCCACCTGAAATCATATTTGAACAATTATCTCAAAATGACGTCCTTTTAAGGTAATGATCTTGTCTAGACATAGCACGAAATTCCTTGATACAACAGTGTCTCGGAAGTTACTTACTGAATTAGGATTAGAAGTTAACCTTTTACATACGTTAAGGTTTGGGTTCTTAGACTAGGGTTGATAATAACGTATTCATAATGAGGGTAGCTAGCTCTTTTGATAATATATTCTGATTGAGATTGCTTCTTTGCATAAGTGTGATGTAACTTTGTTATGTTCCATTTCCGTAACTTTGATAATTTTTTTTGAATATTTTGCTGCTAAAAATTGTACTTACTAACAAATTTTTAGAGTCATGTATCAGAGAAATTGATCAAGGGATGCATGTGTGACAAATTATTTCAAATGGTATCATACATTTTCGGAATCCTTTACAATATACAATGTTCGTCTCTTAAAAATATTCCAGCATAAATAAAATGTTGATGTTTCGAAATCAATCATTCAAAGCAGTGAATTAAATAAACCAAAAGGTATGAAACGATAACTTACAAACACTGGGTTAGGATTTGCTTCTGCTATGGGTCGTTGTATTCTAAACTGTGTGAGAAAATATAACTAGTTTGAAAATTAGTTGAAATAATTGCAAAAAAAAGCAAAATCTCAATTCTGTATAAAATATACAGTTTATCAATTATGTATGAAAATCAAAATTCATTTCTGAGAAAAGACTAACCGATTCAGCTGTTGGAATGGAAGACTGTATGAAATCCCAGGAAAATTCCGAATTATAAGGAATAGGTCTATCATCTAAAAGAAAATTTCAGCAAAAAAAACACAATTTTAATTGCCCAAGTCCAATAGTATGCTTAAAGATTGAAGTTTTTCTCATGATAAAAATTGAACTAAAAATATTAGCTCTAAATGATGCAACTTAGATTTACCTATATGTTCTTGATTCCAGATGTCCTGTTCATATTGCCTTGGTCGTGGTGGGTTACTTTCTAAACTTCGAGGACCCTCGAGACCATACGGGGAGTACATGGGTCCCCAGCTGCCATAACGGACAGGTATTCCATACCTGAACGCTTCACTCCCATCACACGACCTATAAAATCATTTAAAATTTTTATGTAAAAATCTTATAATGAAGTACATGACATGTATAAATGTGAATAGTTTTAGGTAAAAGAATAAAAATAAATCAACAAAATTTATGTCCAAATTAGTATATATGAATTTTCTTGCATAAGAATTTGATACTTTTACACAAAAAATCTACTTATGCTACTCGCTATTGATTGTTTTCTTTTCAAAGAGTCTTAATTTTTAAGCAGTAATTTTACACATGTTGATCTAACCTATCATCACTATTACTGCTGACTGTCAGATCTTCCTTATCTTTTCTTCGTTTACAGTAGACGCATATGATGAATATAATAGCTATTACTGTTACTGTTAAGGGTATTCCTATTCCTAGCCCAACAATCAAGTCAAAGTAATCTGAAAGGATTAAAAATATACATCATTTCTTGCTCACATGATAAAACAAGAGATACTGTCAGCACTGCGCTCATAAAATAATTACTTACGCTTCAATATGAATAATATGTTTTTATTTAACCCGCCATACCCCTTATAACGAACAAACGTGCACAATAACACATTACTATTAAAAAAATACAAATATCCTTAAAGTATGCGTTTGTAAAGGAGGAGTTGCAGATAAAATAGTTTAAAAGGGAATGGAAGTGTCCTAGTTTTGCTATAGGGGAAATATGAATTAGAAGGTATAATGATACCACATACATGTAGATAAGACTCAGTGAAAGATTCATAAAATTTTATCGAATGGTACATGTACAGAATGATTTGCGGATATGAAAAGGCTATCAACAATGTAATGCTTTGAACATTAGGAGTACCTGTGTTACAGATTTACAGCAAGACGTTTCAACGCTTTGAACCTCCCATTTGAAAGAGATAATCAGTTTTCATCGATGAAAAACATGGAATGGAAAGTCAATCGTTTAACACCCTTTCCCGCAGTCACGCATTTTAACGCATATACCATTTCCTATTTCTAACGCAAAATCACGCATTTACCGTTTCCCCGCAATCGCGCATTTTCACGCACTTTAAAAAGTTCATTTAATCTTCAATTTATTGTCAAATTCCAACTACTTTATACTTGCTTGAATCCCATAAATTAGAAAAAGTTATTTTATAATTAAAATATTATTTCAGAACATTATTTCCGCTAAACTTTAGAGAAATTTGTACCCCGCTATAAAGTGTTTGCGGGGAAATGGTAAAGTAATATTTCTATGACGCGAGGATTCAATATATGTTGAATAGCAATTCTGTAAGTTGTAAAGAGTTAATTTTTTATAACGTATTAGTACAGTATCAGTATCTTGATATTTCAAATCAGTTTTATCCAGTTCTTTTTTACTAAAAGACAGAAAACAGATATAAAATTAATCATATATGGTGTTCAAATACTTTTCATACATCATGTACATCACCAATAAAAAAGAATGCATTAAATCATTTTATCATAGTAATTTTTTTAGTAAAAAAGCCGGTGTTAATATTTTATATTGGAACAAACTTTTGATTTTAAATTTGAGAAAAGATAGTGAAAATATTTTTATTTTCAAAATCCTTATTGCAAATTAAACAGAAAACATACCCGTTACTTCTATTGGTCTGAAAACAAGAATTAAACATAACATATTGATACATGGTTTGTAAATCCTATATTCAAATGTTAATTGCATTTGAATTACAAAATTAAACCTTTTAATTTTAAATTGCATTTTACAACGTAAGGAGTCCTTTTCTTGTCTTTTGACTTTTTTATATTAATTAAATGTCTTTATCTACTTACACACAGGAAGGAGTGCCTGAGTTTTCAACACATGTTTCCCCTTCCGAACACGGGGACAAAAGTTTTAAAATGGTACATGGGCTGCTTGAATTGCCGACTGTGAAATCTGATAAAAAGATGAGAGGTGCAATAAGTTTCTCTGAAAATAAGTACACATGTACCTCTCGAATTTAACGGAAAACGATTGCATTTAAGACATGTGCATCGGCATTACACAAACAATAACATATACGTACATATGCTTTTACAATGCATTGTTAAAGGACCCCGTTACTTCAAACGACAAATATTACAGCTACACAGATGAATTAATTTGTATTGCTTGGATGTTCTTCTTAATAGTTGATGCTAATATTTCACTTTAATTGTTTGTGTATAATTTTATTGAACACTAGAAGAACCGAATACTGGTGGTTCCAGTTTTAAATAAGCATAAAATTCATCATATTTACTGCGTGACTCCCTTTTTTAGATTTTGTGTATCATGACTTCAAGATCACTAAAAAATATTATATAATCTAGATCTTATATTTATATAGTATAAAATATATATCTAGGCTTGTTAATAACCAAGCTTTTTGTACATTTGAATAGCTCGAATTATCTCCTTAACATATTGGGAATAAAGGAACCTCTGTAAAACCCCCATTTGACTTTAAAATCTATGAAATACCGGTAAAATGTATTGTAGAAAATTGCCCATTTTTGTCACGTGAAATATTCAATATGTATCTAAGTAATCTTTCCTTTCTAGCGTCATTAAAATAATGTACTTAATTTTAAAAATCTAGCAAACCATTTGCTAGCTTATATACCAGAATGTTCCGTGGCAAAGTAAAGAGCAGCAATAAAAATTACTTACTTTTGCCTTCTCCGTCAGTGATTAATACAGTCACTGTGGAAAAAGAAGCATTTCTCTCTAAGATTTCAATCCTCACAACTTTACTCAGCAGTTTTTTCGTAGCCCTGATGTAGTCACTCGTTTGTGCTTCTTGTGACTCGTTCTTATAGACAACTATTTCAAATCTGACCTTAAGGCTACCAAGTCTAAACACAAAAATGTTTTCTTTAATTGAAACGTTAAACATCATAAGTCTGGAAACTTTCAATAATACTGAGAAAATCTATTTATAAATTCAGTCTCTTTATTAGTAAAGGCTGAACTAAAAAATGCAATTTATGTTTAAAGGCCAGTTATGCATGGGAGGGATCTTCAGTTATTCTTTGATCTGGTGTATTAAATTTTTGTTTGAAATCAATTGGATATTGTTATAAAAAATACGGCCTCTTACACAAAAGTGAAATTTTGAACAGAAAATCACATAACCTTTTTTAAAATTGACGTACATTAAATAGTCACTGTTATTCATATTAAATTCTTTATTTTTGTGGTATTTGATTTACATGTACTTTAATTCTGGGTAAATTTATGTTCATACATGTAGTCATTAAGGCTAACTTACCTTATAGATAAAATAAATATCGTTTTAAATCCACGTACTTCTTCCTTGAAATTGTCTATCAGCTGAAAATATCAATGAATTGTTACGGCTCAGTTCAGTAACATAAGCACAATTATTAAATGTATATGAAAATAAGAATTTTCATTTATGCTTGTAACTCACAGTCTGAAGGATAATGGCCGTTATATTTTCAGTGTGGTCTTTGAATTCCTGCGGCGTAACAGATATTGCCAGAGTTGTCTCCGCTTGGAACGTTGTTTCTATCGTTCCAGGTTTAGAAGGTGTTTTTTGTGCTGAAACAATAGCAAATAAAATCTAATACTGGCGTACAATACTTTTATGCATGCAATATTTAACAAGAGGCCCACGGGCCTTATAGGTCACCTGAGTATTGTGAAACAACTTTCAAACAATTAAATTTGGTTCATGTTTTAAACCAGAGGCCATGAAATTCACAATTCACAATTTTGAAAGAGGCACTATTGCTTATCATAATTAAAAAACTTAGCATGCTTACTCTACTTATTCAATACCCAGAGGTAGATCAGAGTTACAAAGAGAAAATGTTCTTCCACTTTTTAACCAGTTGTGCACCTCACCCCAAAAGAACCACTGACCCTGGGGCCAAATATTTCAAAATTTTGCAAATTTTATCTTAAAATGGTTGATTAATACCAAAGAGCAGATTTCAAAGCATTAATTTGTTTTCAGACTATGTAACCCCCCCCCCCACCCCTTGACCCAGGAGGGGGGGGGGGGGGGCATAAAAAATAATCATTTTGCTAGATGCACCTTTCTTCATCACAAATATATATACTTGGATCATTAGCATAAACCCAAAAGCAAAGGAAAATATTTTCAAAGAATTAATGTATTTTTACTGAATAATCAAAAGAGCCCTAACACCTGAACCCCTGATTCTGGGGCAATAAAATTCACAATTTTGGAAAAGGCACTTTTGCTTATCATAACAATGTGCTTAATTAGTTTATTTAATACTCAGAAGCAGAGAAGATTTTCAAAGAATAAATGTATTTTCACTATATAATCAATAGAGCCCGCCCTAACACTAGAATCCATGACCCTGGGGCCATAAAATTCACAAATCTGGAAGAGGCACTCTTTTTCATCATAACAATGTACTTAGTTAGTTTATTTAATACTCAGAAGCAGAGAAGAAGATTTTCAGAGAATAAATGCATTTTCACTATATAATCTATAGAGCCCCGCCCTAACTCCAGAACCCCTGACCCTGGGGCTATGAAATTCAGAAATCTGGAAGAGGCACTCTTGCTCATCATAACTATGTACTTAGTTAGTTTATTTAATACTCAGAAGCAGAGAGGAAGATTTTCAAAGAATAAATGCATTTTCACTATATAATCTATAGAGCCCCGCCCTAACACTAGAACCCCTGACCCTGGGGCCATAAAATTCACAAATCTGGAAGAAGCACTCTTGCTCATCATAACTATGTACTTAGTTAGTTTATTTAAAACCCAGAAGCAGAGAAGAAGATTTTCAAACAATAAATGCATTTTCACTATATAATCTATAGAGCCCCGCCCTAACACTAGAACCCCTGATCCTGGGGCTATAAAATTCACAAATCTGGAAGAGGCACTCTTACTCATCATAACTATGTAATTAGTTAGTTTATTCAAAACCTAGAAGCAGAGAGGAAGATTTTCAAAGAATAAATGCATTTTCACTATATAATCTATACAGCCCCGCCCTAACACTAGAACCCCTGACCCTGGGGCCATAATTCACAAATCTGGAAGGGGCACTCTTGCTCATCATAACTATGTATTTAGTTAGTTTATCTAATACCCAGAAGCAGAGAAGAAGATTTTCAAAGAAATAATGCATTTTCACTATATAATCTATATAGCCCCGCCCTAACACTAGAACCCCTGACCCTGGGGCCATGAATTTCACAATTTGGTAGAGGACTCAATGCTTATTACATTCATGCTAACAGTTTGCCTGCTTGAAGTCCAGGAGTAAAGAAGAAGATTCTTTAAGATTGCAATAATTTTAGTTGTTTTGGCCCCACCCCTCAGGCCCCAGGGGGGCGGGGACCATGAAATTCACAATTTTTGTTCCCCTTCACCCATAGATGCTGCATACCAAATTTGGTTGAAATTGGTTCAATGGTTTCACAGAAGAAGCTGAAAATGTTCAAATGTTAACACACGACACACGATGCACAACGCACGACGACGGACGAAAACAGATGGGAATAGGTCACCTGAGTTACTCAGGTGACCTAAAAATATTATCACTTTTTTATAGGTGGTTTTACTTACACAGACAATCCTCAGTTGTTGCATTTGTTCCATAACGACAAAAACAAAAGTGGCCGCTCGTTCCATTTAATAAACAATCTTGAAGATTACGGTCACATGCAGCAGTTCCGATACTACAGTCCTCTACATGGACATCACAATTTGTTCCGTTCCAGTTCGCTTTACAGATGCATGCTCCTGTCGTGTCGTCACAATCAGCCGTGTTCTCAGTATTGCAAGTACAGTTCTGAGAACACTGAGTACCGTATGTCCAATCACCACACCCTTCAGATATATGATAATAATTTTGGTTAATTATTATTATTTGCTGTATTGTATTATGTTTAGATGTTTTTGTGAGGAAAAGAGTTTTATTTAACCCACTTTCTTCGTCAAATTAATGAAAATATTTTAACACGCTAAGTACTAATTTCATTGAATCCAACGAACTTTTGCTCACACAAACAACGTTAATGTTATTTTTAATAGGTCATTCTTTTCTTCCAATTGTGCAAATTAATCTGAATTTCTTACATTTTAAAGCAATATATAATGTTGAATCTTGAATTTTATATGTTGTTATTACTTATTAGAATAATATCACTTTTTTATCAATTTTGTTTTGTTGTATACTTAATGCGGAATTAAATATATAAGAATAAGAGTTTTTGACAAGATTATGACTAAAATAAATAGAGTAGGAAATCCCTATTACCTGTACAATTAATTCCAACTCCATAGAATCCTAAATCACAAGAACAGTTGTAGCTGTCTATCGTGTCCTGACATGAAGCATTCAGATGACAGTTGTGAGCTCCTGTATTACACTCATCCGTAAACTCACAGTTGGTTCCATTAAAACCATCTTGACAAATGCATGTTCCGTCAATGTTATCACAGTCTGTTGTGCCAGCTGTGTTGCATGAGCATATTTGTGAACACTGCTCTCCATATGTGGTCTGGTCACAACCTTTTATAGATAATTTAATTTCATAAAACTCATGATGGATGACAATCATTCAAGTTTCAACTTTTATCTTTATAGTATGGTATAAATCAAATTTTGCACCTGAATAATCGAATCGACCTGAATATTATTAATACGTCAAAGAAGGTCACCTCGTCTTCATCTACTTTTGAGTCTACATGACTTAAGATCCTAAGCTGCCTCGACTGAACGGATTTATGATCATTTTCCTTTTGAAGTGCGAAATAACAAATGTTTACAAAGCAGCACTTTTGATACATTTGAAAGTAATGCCCAGTGGTCGTTGAGAACATTTTCTTGCAGCTACTAAAATTATCTTCTTTGTTTTAGAAATATATCACTTTTCTAAAAGGCACATCTGTTTTTTTTTTCGTGTAGTATAATTAAATCCAATTAACTACAGACACTGATTGACAAAACGTCAAAAATTAGCCAAGGCCTTCTAAAGATAAAATCTTATTCCAAAAAGTTGACACACACCAAGAGCTTTGGGCTCAAGTCAGATTTAAAGTTTACCTAGTCCTTTGTAAAAATTTAGAAATGGGCTTTAGCTACATCACATATCCGAGTTATTGCTCTTCTTTCCAATAAAATCTTTCTTACCGTAGTATTGTTCTAGAACGAATATCACTGCCATCATCAAGCGCAAATTTAAAGAAATTCGGCCCCCACTTGTCAAAAGTAATGTACATATAAATATGTACATGTTAGCCCTATATCTACTGCAATACATTCATACAATGTTTGGAAAACGGAACAATTTTTTTAATACAAGGCTACGAGGTCAAAACCAATTTTTAATGGACTCAGCAAAGGTAACGAGAAATATGAAAGACCTATCTCTTATACAAAAGGTATGAGCAGGGTAGATGTAATGTGTTTTTAAAAGTAGTATAAACTTGTCATGTTTGCAATAAAAAATCAAAGTATACTTTGAAAGATCTCAACACAGGTAATGTACATGACTGTGATGTATGTGTTATTCGCAACTTGTGACCAATGTTAAAGTTTTAAGACAGACTGACAGACGAATAAAATTTACTTTTCCCTCCTGTTTTTGCTTGGTTTGAACATATTTTATTGTTAAGATGTTATAACAAAAGGATTGGACACAAGTACTTAATACTTAGAACGTCCTCTTCTTAATAACAATTAATTACACAAAGTATTGTTCAAAAATTAATTTACACTGGAACCAAAGGTCAATAAGATTATTTAACATAGGTAATGCATGTACAGAATTTAAATTGATGTAGTATGTACAAACGAATCAAAATACTTCAAAAACGACCAGATCTCTTGATAAACAATTGCACATTTAAAAATAAACTTTCATTGTCAGAAATACTGATCGTATTATCTCCCCATAACAGAACATGAGTGTCTACAATACTTAAGTTAATCATTCTAAATATAGCATTAAACAGATCGTTCCTTGGAGCATTGTATTTCGCACAAGAGAAAAAGAAATGATATGCGTCTTCTATTTTTCCACAAGTGCATAATGGACTGTCAATAATACTACACCTAAATAAGTCTTTATTTAGAACACAATTGTGTCTTAATCTAGTATGAATTACACTCCAGTAACGATCACCAAAAGTAAAAAAGGACGGGGTAGGTGTTCTATGAGAGTTTACACAATTTTTGAAGGCACCTATAGTAGTAGATTGTCTTGTTTCAAGAGACAAAGAGTTCCACTCCCTTATTGCCATTGGAACAAATGATGATTTATATATATTTAATCTACACTTCGGGATGCAATAATTTTGTGACTGTCTTGTTACGTAATTTGATTCTTGTGATGGAATATTTGGAAATATTTCTCTCAGATACTCGGCTACCATGTTATAATATATTTTATACATAGTTGTTCTAATTTGGACATTCGTCTTACAGCAAGTGGTTCCCAACCAGTTTCAAAATAGAGAGAATCTCGCGATGCTAATGAAGTTAAACCAGTGACTATTCTTGCCGCTGCAAGTTGTAATTTTTCTAATTGTTCGGAATCTTGACTAGAACACCCACACTAAACTTCAGTTGCGTATTCTAACTGAGGTCTTATAAAAGAAGTATATAAAAGAGATAAAGTTTTAGCACTGACCCTGAATTGCATTTTTGCTTAAGTTGCCTAGTTTGGTACACAAATTTATATTTTGGGGTCTTCGGGTGATTTTTTGTCATATTTGAAAATATAACAAAAATATATAAAGGGATTAACAAAGAAAATACTTTCTATGCCACTTTGCTCTGAATGGCCACAGTTATTGTTTCGACATTTACATTCGCACATAAAAATAACTACCTGTACAATTGATGCCATCTCCATAGAATCCTAAATCACAAGAACAGTTGTAGCTGTCTATCGTGTCCTGACATGAAGCATTCAGATGACAGTTGTGAGCTCCTGTATTACACTCATCCGTAAACTCACAGTTGGTTCCATTAAAACCATCTTTACAAATGCATGTTCCGTCAATGTTATCACAGTCTGTTGTGCCAGCGGTGTTGCATGAGCATGTTTGTGAACACTGCTCACCAAACGATGTCTTGTTACAACCTTTTAGAGAATAATTAAGTTTTAATGAAGCATATGGCATTCAGAGAACATAACTATACGGCAAATGCCACATTGCCACAAAATAAAAGTTACAGGACCGTGAACGAATTAACTGTTTATTGAAGGAGAGTGATTCAAATAAAAAATTAGAATTGAAAAATCATATTGCATTAGAATGCAAAGCTCTTTCTCATTTGAGTCTTCGCAAAAATTCAGATTATTGATACAGATTAGATGAAAGTACATTTTATAGACTATTCTAGAGAAGCAACGTATAATGAGGAGAATCCTAATGTTGTTCCTAATCTTAACCTTGCAATATGGGATCATGAATTTTACAGTTATAGACGAAACATAAATTATATCCACACTTTCCCGTTTTAAAAAATTTCACTTATAGGATATAGCGGACAAAAAAAGAGTTAACAAAGGGGAACCTAAGACCACTAAATTACAAAAAACCACAAATATTATAGTAATTCCAACATTTCCGTATTGCTCTGCATTATATAAATATGAATAATGAATACCTGTACAATTGACGCCATCTCCGTAGAATCCTATATTACAGGAACAGTTGTAGCTGTCACTCGAGTCCCGACAAGTAGCGTTCATATGACAGTTGTGAGCTTCTGTATTACACTCATCCGTAAACTCACATTGGGTTCCGTTAAATCCATCTTTACAAATGCATGTTCCATCCAAATTATCACAGTCTGATGTGCCAACTGTGTTGCATGAACATGTTTTAGAACACTGCTCACCATATGACGTACCATTACAACCTTTGTGGAATTGAGATAGATGAATAAAAAAGACGTCTGGCTAAATTGATACCTATAATCTTTTTCGTTTGTGTTGAAAAAGAAAAGGTTTGCGGCTTTTGACCTCTTTTTTTAAGTACATATTAATTTTACCTGTACAACTATAGCCATCTCCACTGAAGCCTAGTTGACATGTACATGTAAAGCTTCCTTCAGTATCAGAACAACGTGCATTTTGTGAACAATTCCCGGTTCCAAGCGAACATTCATCAATATCTGATTAAGAGTATGAAAGATAAATGCATTATTCACATCGCTGCCTTAAATACGTAATAGATTTTACTAATAAAGAAAAAATATACTTAAGCCCACACACGGATGGTAATTTATTTTTTAAATATACATGTGTTCTATTAACGACAGGTTCTAGAAACAAAATGTTTTATGGAGAGTATTAATGTAGCTTTGGATTTAATCCTTGCAAACAAAGATACATTTTTCATAAACAAAAATAAGCTCCATCTAAAAATTTCTCTACAAAGTCCTTATATTTAATCTTCAGGAAAACATTAACTGCTGTAACAGAATAATCTCAGATGAACTGTGCTACGGTGAATTATAAATGTAAATCAGAAAAGGATCTTCTAGATCATTTAAAATCCAATTTTTTATCAAAAGGTTAATCATCAAAAGTTAATGAACTAAAGGTTTTTTGATATTATGGAAAACCGTTTTATTTTTTAAAATCAAAATGGATCTTGGGGAAATTTTCATATCTTGTGAAATTACTTCCTTCGAAACCACACTATTTGACTGTAAAAGCCAATACATGTACTTTCAGATTGATAATTAAAATATACTGAAGTTTCTCATTAACTACAAGCAATGAATAAAGGAAATTAAAAGGTGTAATTGTTATGCATAAAAATGAGTGAATTAAATTGTTTTTTCTTACTTTCACAATGTCCTGCTGATGTTTTATGAAAGCCAGAGTCACAAAGACATAAATATGAGCCTTTTGTTTCAGTACATGATGCATTATTTCCGCAAATATTGGGATCATTGGCGCATTCTTGGACGTCCTCTGTACAGTTAATACCCTGCCAACCAGAACTACAGTAACAGGTTCCATTCTGTTTGTCACATGACTGAGTGTTACTGAACTCACACGTACACTGACTGGCACAGTTCTGCCCATACGTTGTACTCGAACACTCTATAGAACAAAACAAAAACCATTTATCTTTAAGTTAACACGTTTTAAATACCATTGATCTAAATTAATTTGTTCTCTTTATCTAAATATTAAAAGACTTCCACTTGTCATGAATAAAAAACTCTGACAAAAGATCTACTTACCAACACATTGTTCGGCGGCAAAAGAAAATCCGTTTTTGCAATTACAAGAGTGAGATCCATTTAAATTCTTGCAGTCGGAATTATTCGGGCAAATATGATCGTTCAAACATTCATCAATATCATCATTACAGATTGTCCCATTCCACCCCTCTTTACAGGTACAGGAACCGGTGATTCTGTCACATGATTCTGTATTTTCAGGTTTACACGAACATGCATCATTGCAGTTTATCCCGTAGTATTCATTTTCGCATTCTAAATTGTCAAAGAGGTAAGTAGAGGGCAAAGAAATTTTCCATGAGGTAACATTTTAAATCTGTAATTTAAGTTTCTTAACTCATGTACATACCTATACATGTTCTCTGGTCAATGTCCAGCTTTTTCCCTACATCACAAGAACACGTGTAACCGAGACCAGGACTATTCTGTGTACAGTTCTCACTGCACGGGCTCTGAGAACACTCGTCAATATCTTTTTGAAAAAAGTAAAAATTAAACAAGAAACATGAATTCTCGATCCAAGAATGTGATTTGAAAAAGATATTTTATACCAATCATTGCGAAATTACATTATCACTACTTATTAACAAACATTCTGTGAAAAGTAATGCTAGAAAAATACAATACATGTATATAGAAATGTATGACTTTTTATATCAAAATTATGCTATATAATACAGCATTCCTTGTTATGTTCAATTCAACGTTGCATGTGGTTCATTGAATTGTTTACTATAACATATATAATATGATGGACTTTTAATGAAAATCTAATTTTACTTGTATGATAAGCAAAATTCATCGAAGTCCTGAAACATAAGGGAATCGTGATTGTTCAGATGTTTATTTTATAATTCTATTGCTGTTTAAAAGAAGCCTACTAGAGAACTAAAATGATAAAATTAATTTCTAAAAATACAATTATGCATATTAAAGAGCTTAAAATGTTAATTTACCATTGCATGTAACATTGTCTAAATCTATACTGAATCCATTTCTACAGGAACAATACTCCGACCCATCAGCACGCACGGCACACTGTTGAGTACAGTTCAGCTTGGTACACTCTGTTTTGGCTGCAATTAAAACAAATATGGGTACACATGACCAGATATTATATGTTAATTAATTAAATAAAAGTTCTCATTCTACAACCACTAATGTTTAAAAAATTGTACCATCAATGGTCAAACTCTAGTTCCAGGTTTCTCTTTTTTAGACACTTACCAAGGCAGTTGGACTTTGTTGTTGCGTTCAGAAGAAAACCTTCTCTACAAAAGCATTTGTAACTTCCAAGAGTGTTTGAACACAACTGGTCACATGGTGGAACTGGTGATGCACATTCATCAATGTCCTCACATTTTGATTGGTTTGTGAGCTTAAACCCAGGGTTACAGGAGCACGTGTACCCCCCATTTGTATTGTTGCAAATTTGGTCGCAAGGTTTGCTGATACATTCATTGATATCTTAAAAAGAGCAAGGAAATCGCTAAATTTATTTTGAGCTTTCAAGTAAGCGAAGATAAGTTATAAGCTACTATGTTAATCTGTGTTCATACCTGTACATTGCCCTGGTAAAGTTGCATTATATCCAATGTCACACAGACATCTGTAGGATCCTGGGGTGTTCTGACAGATCTGGTAGGCCCCGTTACAAGGAGTACCAATGGCACATTCATCGATGTCAGCATCACATTTCGACCCTGCCCATCCTGTTTCACACTGACATCCTTGTACGTTGTCACAAGTGGAGGCACCAACTCCGCAATTGCAAGGTATTTTGCAATCAAGTCCATAATGAAAATTATCGCACACTTAAAAAAAGGTAGATCAAATGCTTTTAAATTTCATTTATTTACTTTAACCCAAGCCATATTTAATGCTTGTAAACGTGCTTCATAACATACCTGAGCATTGTCTTCCGTCATTTTCTAAGACATGTCCTATGGGACATGAACAGTTGTAGGACCCAATAGTATTCACACAATTTTCTTTGAAGGTACACAGATTCAGTGTTTCATTGCCACACTCATTAACGTCTAATATTGTAAGCAAATAAAATAAAAGCAAAACCATTATTCATCTTCCATGACGTTGTACTGTTCATTATGTACATTTAAACAGTCTCTCAAATTTCACATAATTGTGAATGTTAACTTATACAGCAATGTAAAAGTCGATTATAAGATTGAAAATACAAAACCATTTAAAACAAGTAAATTTTATTACATTGATTATACAGTGTAGTACACATTATCTCTCTGTGTCTTACCAACACAGGATTGCTTATCCACCGCATTCAGGTAGAATCCCGCGCCACAGAAGCAGTATCCAATGGTTTTATTTGCTGGATCTTGTTTACATCCAAATGAGCAGTTAAGGTGTGGATAAAGCGAACAAATATCAGTCACTGTAATAATATATATTACAAATCACTGACCTATTAAACTTTTGATTGGTAATTCAGTGACAGATCTTAATATGTTTTGCTTAAGTTACATACCCACTGCGCATGTCTTCCTGTCATCCTCCAGTGTGTACCCAAACTCACACTCACAGTTAAAACCTCCTTCCACGTTAGAACACCCCTGAGAACACCCCGACACTCCCGTCTTACATTCGTCAACATCTAGTAATATTTCAAACATATCATCCAATTGTTTATCGGTAACATATAAGCGAAAACAAAAGTCCAGACTTGTGATGAAAATGATGATTTTCTGCCTACCTTGACATTCGAAAGTTGATTTCTGGGTGTAGCCTTCTTTACATTGACAAGTGTAATTACCGTCATTATTCAGACACGTGGACGATACGGGACATTCATTTGAACCGTCGTTTGCACACTCGTCAATATCTTTTCAAATAAAGGAATATTACATTGTGATACAATTGTTTTAACAAAATGTTAAATATTGTCTGCAAATCCTTCTTTAAAAAAATAATGAGTTGAGTATATTACTTTCCATAATAGAATTTATGTTTCCCAATTATCAACTTATATTTGTTGATAAACCTTTACGTAGTTTTATTTACCTTTACAAAGTTCATTAACTTTCTCGAATCCATTCCGGCAGTTACATGTGTAGGATCCCTGGAGATTATGACATTCCTGGTCTGTACCACAGATTAACGGATTAACTGTACACTCGTCTATATCTTGATCACATTTAGTTCCCGTCCATCCGGACAGACAGACACACCCGGTAGCTGAGTCACACCTGTCCATACCTGGACCACACTCGCACACCTGTTCACAGTTGTCACCATAACTCGGAGGTATACATTCTGTTTGGAAAAGATACATTCATTTGTATATTCATTTGACGCAATTTTATAATGATTCATCTTTTGATCCGATATTCCAATGCTCCTCCAAAATTAAAGAGGAATAAAAACATTAATAATATAATAATAATGATAACATACATATTGTGGAAATATATTTTTATTACATTTTTAAATAATAGAATTGGTATATTCTTTACTGAAAACAACATTTCAGTAAATTTAATATAAAATTAAAGATACCATATAGTCTAACATATCTGGTCATATCTGGACATTTTTCTAGAAGAAATACGTCAATAGTAACCAAACAACTTTGTATTATAAAAAATGTTGACATAAACATTTATTTTTTATCATTATTAATTCAGATATTAGAGAGGTTTAGCAAGCTCACTTGTACGTGTACATGTACGTGTAAACTACAAGTTAGAATTACACGTACACGTTAACATTTTTTTCTTGTTTAGCAAAGTATAACCTGTACTTGTACTCGTAAGTTTTTAAATGTAAGAGGGGTTTATATTTAAAAAATCATTTGAAAAAGCAATGATTTTAATACGTATTTCACCGTTTTAAATAAATATATGCATGTACTTATGAGAAAAAAATTGTACAGATTTCTTATATTTTTAATCTGTCACAGCCTGTTTCGAAAATCTTGATGTTGTGATTTTGACTCCCTATAAATTAATATTTTTTAATTTCTGACGTTCAATTTTTTTTAATCAGTATTTGCATTAAATATTCAGGTTTTATAAAAACCCACACTTATTGAAAAATAAACAGAGGATGAAGAATTTTAAGCTACAAGTTTTGATTTACGTGTACTTGGCAATCTACACGTAAACTGCGTAAGAAGATACGTGTAGAAATTCGTCATTAGCAAAAGTGATGACGTAATGCACATATTTCTAGTGCTACACGTACACGTACACGTTGGTTTGCTAAACCTCTCTATTTAGATTACCTGAACAAGTTGTTTTGTCATCGTTTAGAGTGAACCCCGTAAAACACGAGCAATTGTATGAACCGACTGTATTAACACAACCCTGAGCACATATTCCAAATCCACATTCGTCCACATCTTCAATATAAATATTAAAAATGCATTTTTTGAAATTTTGTAAAGCTAGCGAAATTTCAAAAGCATTCAATAACATCTACAGTTACTGAATATCATACAAACCTGTGCAATTTATTCCATTTGCAGCAAGTTTGTATCCGTTTTGACAGATACACTCATAAGTACCAGATGTATTGACACATGTATATTCACAGGTAAGGTTGGCTTTTTTACATTTATCTGTCTCTAAAATTGACAAAAATAACAATACATGTAACAACAGTTAGAGGTTAATTTGCTAAATAATTCCTAAAATTGTCGAACAAACCATGACCATACTCATTCAATTTCAATCAGTTCAAACCAAACAGTTCTGTTCAACTAATTCAGAACATTTACACTATTTTTTTTGGTTTTTATGCATAATCTAAGCTGAACATGATGCAAGATTGTAGGGTTACATTACAATAAAAAAGAAATAAAGTACATATTTTCAATATTGTTATTGAGTCATTGGTACCTATAAATCTTATCATGATATGGGGTGAATTACCTGTCGCAAAGCATGTTTTATTATCGTCATTTATTATAAAACCAGGTAAACAGGAGCAGACATATGCCCCTTCTGTGTTGTTACAGATCTGTGCGCATCCTGAAGTGCTCTCAAAACACTCGTCAATGTCTAAAAAAGATTTAGGAAACATACGTGGGGGTTAAAAAGAAAACATACAGATAAACTTCTGTCATCTTAAAATATATATCCCTCATTTGCAATACTCTTTCCCCATTTTCAACAAGATAGAGTGATTATGTAATAATATTGCATACAAGCACCTGCATAGTTTAAAGTCCTTCAAATATTTACACTGCATTTAAAGATATCTCATTCTATCCAACTTCGTCTAGCAAAATGGAATTAACATTTAGGAATATCGTATTTCAAAAGAATTTACTGCTTTCATTCAAAGCGATTTATTGTTTACCTAGACATTCAAGGTCAACCTTCCTGTACCCCGACACACAATTACAGGTATAACCCCCCTCTGTGTTCTCACAGTTCTCGGTCCTTACATTACACACCGGAGCAGTTCCATTGCACTCATTGATATCTGCATAATAAAAAGACAGTATTTCATTTCATAGTGACTCGCTGTATCGAGGACAGACAAAAAGATCACTTCAAGGTCAGAATTCATGGTGAATAAAGTTGCACATTCGAATTCACATGCACTTATACAAGAAAAAGACCTGTCAATTTAGTGCGGTTATTATCATGTAAATCTTTTATTATTTGAATGGTGATATAAAATGTATCATTATAAATATGCACATTTATAATCTTTTCATTTGAAAACATGTGTACGTATTTATTAATCAATTAAAAATTCTTAATGACGCACCTTCACATTTGTTGTCTATGTCTCTAAATCCACTTGGACAGTCAGAGCAGTTGTAACTTCTATTAAAAGCGGCTTCCTGGTCCGGAGTGAGGTCGGTACAATTCCTACCCAGGGGACAGGGGAAGTCAGCACACCCATCAACATCCTGTTCACAGTCATCACCTTAACAATAGAATTAACCGAAAATATATGATAACTTATCAAGAAGGCATTCGAAAATTAAAAAAAAAATGAATTGCAGACAACCACATGTGTAATGAATTTACAGTCGTATATTTTTTATTCTGCTCTTGGGATTAGGGATGCAAATTAAATTTATGAGTATATTACTGACTGCATGTATGTCTATTTGTAATACAAGGTCCATATATTTTAATATTATACTGAATGTTTTATACAAATACATATTACAGTGAACCGTGCGCGCATAAATTCCGCGCAGTCGCTATTTTTTGGGAATACACAAGTCGTCAAACAAAGGTGACTGTTGCTACGCAGGAAGGCGTGGCTTCATTAAATCAGCGGGTAGTAGTATTTTTATCAAATGTTTCTCGACGAATCAGATTCAAGTAATTTACATGAAAGTATAATATATAATAAATACTGCATGTAGTTGAGTGTAACATTGAAACTTTTCACCCCTCGAAAACCATTGTCAACCTCGGCTGCGCCTCGATTGACAATGGTTTTCTTGGGGTGAAAAGTTTCAATGTTACACTCAACTACATGCAATATTTATATATTATTAATACTGAAAGTTCATATTTATACCCCAACACGCTGTAAAAACGGGGTTGTATAGTAGTGAGTGTCCTTCTAACTGAACTTCCGTCCGTCTGTGACTGATCTCTTTTTCACAACTCCTTTTAAACCAATGAATTAAATTTGATACACACAGAATCTTTATTTTATACAGATATAATGTCGTTTTTTGCCTACTATTTTACTTTTTGATCAGTGACATTTTAAGTGTTCCATACCAAAACACGGTTATACTTTTATACTATGAACGGGAACAGGGGGTATCATTTTGTGAACTCATTGCCATTTTAAAACTACGTTCTGTCCCTTTCTTCTAACTTATAGTGTTTAGTTTAAACATTTGACTATATTAAAAGTGTTGAAAGGCAGGGTTTCTTTCCCTTGGCTATATTACCTGAGTATCCTAGTTTACATTCACATGTTGCTCTTTTAAAGAGTTCATTTTCGGAATTTCTTGTATTTGTGTAATTGCATATACCATTTCCGTTACAACCACTACATAGGATAATAGCGACATCTAGTGGAGAAGCTTCAACTTGTTGGTCATCTACGGCAGAGACACTTAAAAACGAAGATAACGTACTGTTAGTCATTTTAAAACATGTAAACAAAAACTGTTTCAAAATTTATGAATCGGGATTGTTGTGTCACTTGGTATAAATCGACACAAATATGGGAAAATACGTTACGGTAACATTTATTATAATGCCATGTTAAATTCAATTTTCGTAAATTTGTCTTTGCATAATGATGATCAGCATTACCTAATGCTTGTAACATTGGTATCATATGGTGTCCATGTCGCTATGCCTGTCATATTGTCAAACTGAAAGTTTGTGTTTGGCTGCTGTAAAATTTTGTATACAGCATTTTCGCCGTCATCAGAAATGTTGAATTTGATTTTCATAGTAACATTAACTTCTGCCTCGATCACAGTGTCTCCAACCACTTCCGGTGTCTCATTGGCTGAAAAAGAAAACATAATTGTTATCGGCTCTAAAATAATGCAGACATTCAATAACATTCAATAATATAAAGTTGTTGCACCGTTGATGATAAATGGCGCACCGTAAGCAATGAATCCTTACTTTTCAAAATATTTTAAACAAAAATTATATCTATCAGAAAATCTTAATGTGTACCTATGGCACTTGTTTCAGACTCGGAAGTGCTCTCTTCACTTCCGGAAGAAATAGCCAATGTTTTGTCGCCTGTGGCGAGAAAGTCAAAAATACAGGACTGGGAAGCAGATGCACCGCCACATTGTGCCTTAGCCTCGTTTTGTCTTTCTTCACTGAACTCGTCGATGAAAAAGGGAAGAAAATCCGGATGATTGTAGTCCTCGTGTGACAAACCAGTATCGTAGTGGAATATCGAAGTTGTTTCATTCACAGACCCTGCAAAGAGTATGATACATGATATTTTTTTTCTATTTGAACATTATCTCAATCATAAGACTTTAAAAGGGGTTATTATGGAAGAGGACACACAGAGACACATAGAGGTACATGTGTACTACGTATATATAAACGTTCTTTTCATCAAACCAAATATCATGTGTCTTGTACATGTACTCACAGGCTTGACCAAAGTTGAAGTATATGGCCCTCTCACTCCAAGTACTGTTTTCGGTCAGAGTTGTACCGTTGGGGAGAAGGAAATCGTTGCTTTTGTCGCCATCGAAATTTCCCATCAGCCCTGAAACGTTTCCTTTATAGACATCGTCAACAACAGCCTCACACGTCAAAAACCGCACACCAAGACTGACTTTGATTGTTATAGCTAAAATTGTCATGGTTTTTATGTTATTCATACTTTGAAAGCAATGAATGATATATTGGGAAATTTCTCAGAAAAGTTATTATTGTGAAAATTTTAATTTATTTGCAACAGTACTTTGAATTCTAAGATTATTCTTAAAGATCACCATAACATTCGACTTACAAGAATTAAGGAAAGAAGCAACAATTGTCTGGTTCTCTTGTCGTAGTTGTAGGTACTGCGTAGTGTATGTAAAGTTCAGATTCTCGAATTCTCTCGTCAAGTCGCGTCCATCACCTCTGATGTACATCTCTATAGAGACAATATTTTTTTCTTATGCATCATTGCACATCTGAGTTTTTAAAATGTTCATTTCAAATGGATCTCGTCAATCTGAAGTCTTTAGAATTAGTTTTATCTAGCGAGTGTTTTATAAAAAAAAAATCAACCATGGATCAGTCATTCTTTAATTTGACTTTTTTTGAAAACTTACTGTCTTTATTTCTTGACATTTCAATCTGAACGATTGCACCAGTCTGGTCTTTAGCGGCAAAAGCACTGAAAATTGTGGCATTAATGGTGGTTCCATTTTCGTTAGTTGCTAGATCAGTCCTAGCTTGGAGATCAAATTTAGTTTCTTCAGTATCTATTTTCATCATAGTGTATTCTCCGTAACCATTAAATGTGTACTGATGTCCATCCAAAGTACCAATATGAGGATCACCGAAAAACCAGGCTATTTAAGGATAACACGGATTAGTATTTTATGCAATGCCAAAAGTATAAAATTTAATGCACAAAACCTTAGGAAGTCGACCTCTAAGAATGATATTAAATAATAAATCAATCATTTAATTAATTACTTTAAAAAATTAAATCAGTGTAAATAATATGATCATTGAAATTGCATAGCAGATAATTGTTCCTGCAAATATTATAACATAGGTTTTTTTTTTCAAAGGGGACAATGTTCAAGGCATATACTAACCTGCTCTAAATGGTGACCTGCGGTAACACCTCGTGATGGGTCGAACCTCGTAATACCAGTCACAATGTCCTGAATTACAGCAAATGTCTTTTGGCCGAACATCCTGATTGTAGTGATTAAACCGTTGAAAGAAAGGATTATACTCCATTAATGTGCCTGCCACTGGAGGTGACCGCCGACAGGAGCCGAGGACAGGGCGCCACCACCACCACCACCGCCAGGAGGACCACCAAAAGTAAGGATAACAACACTCCTACAGGACAATTATTGTTTGAAAGGCTCACTTTGACAATATAGTTGTTTAATAAATTCACTTTGAAAGAAGTAATGTAAACTTTATTAACATTTATTGAATTAATTGATGCAAGCTAAACAACATGTACAAAATATTGATAATTAATATCTATAAACCAAGAATCGAAATCCGTTTTTACCGCATTTCTACCAAATGTCATCGTGGCATAGCACATAACATTGTTCCTGTAGTCAATTCTGCTGAATGAAAAGCGTGGGTCAAATCTAAGGAGATTGCTATTACAGGGACATTGTAGCCACCGCGCCATGTTAGACAGTCGGTTAGCCACACCGCCCTCTTTGTTCTGCAGATACCAGCTAAAACATTCCCTCTCCTCTCTACTTAGCCGGACCACTGTTGTCAATTTGTATATCCAGAAACCATTCGTACCTAAAAATAAGGTGACATATGACTACGCTTACATTTCATAAACTTTTCCAAAAAGAGAACATGTAAACAAAATTTTCTTATTCGGAATATAGTTAAGCATATACGATAATGTCTGCAATTAATTATTTACCTCTATTCCCCGGGACAGAACTCATGCGAAAAGCAGCCCGTTGATTCGAGTAAGAATTCCTGGCGAAAAATCTTTTAAACCTGTATCCAATTGAAATCCTAAGGTTTCTTATAGGTCTGAGATTGACATCAATGTAATTAAAGACAACGAACGTGTTTTCTCCGTCCGATATCAATAGGCACTGAATGGTTACTTTCTGTTGTAGGAAAAAAACCAAAATAATTAACTCGCTGGAAAAGACTAGCTGAATTTGGTCATACTGCATTAAAAACTTCAAAAAGATATGTCTTTTCAAATAAATTAAACTAAATTAACTACCAATTTTCTCTGTTTAGGATTTTTTAAATGAAAAAAAAAATAAACAAAATACCAGTAATATTTATAGAAATTCCTGACTTTATATTTACAATGCCACAAATTAAATTTAACAATAAATTATTTGTAGATTAGTAGATGTCTTACAAAAAATGGCATTTGTATAGTGCTGCTAAAAATTGTCATTGTATATGTACATAGTTTTACCTGAGATCTATCAGCGTACAGCGCCATGTCTTTCCATGTGACCTTGACAAGCCAGCTGGTCGCAAAGTTTGGAAAATCTTGTGAGTAGAATTCTCTGATGATTGCATTGGCTCTTAATATTGCGCTGTGCTGACTTATAAATCCTCTAAATGAATTATAATTTTACAGTTTTATGAGTACTTAAATAATAAAAAAAAATCATGAAATGATTTTGGTGAAATTTGTACTTGCACCCTTGGATCTTTTGGAAAGTATTTTTTTTTTCATATAGAAAGAGCTAGAGCTCCCTATTTCTGTCTTTATTTGTAATCTGTAAGGTTTACAAAAATGATTATTTCAACTGTAGAAAATTGAGACCAAATTTACAATTCTATTCCTATCGGAGCTTTCTAAAGAGAAGGGAATTTGAGCAAGGATGTCGCAGCAAAAGGGGAGGGTATATATGAATCTTTGAAAAACACGATAAAAATCATTTTGTATCTGATTAAGAAGTATATTGGCAGATTTTGGTTTTTTAATGTACATGATGTACAAGTTAAAAAAACCCCACAGATAAAGCTTTTGAAATCCAAGTACCTATCTCAAATACTTCCCACACCCTTAATTTGAGAAACCAGGAAAAGATCTTAAATAGTAATTATCTCTAATAATTTTAAAACTCTTTAAGGTGAGCATTACCCCTGAACGACTGAAGATTTCTTCTCATACATTTTTGTTAAAAAAAGTTTTCTACATATTTTAAAACGAACATGGGGTTGACATTGGAGAAACATGAATACATTCCCACGGCAGTTATCCTTGTATAATTTTCTGGTATGCCTTGAAGGATAATGAAGTGTTAAACACTAGAGATGTTTTATAGTTCTCTCAGAATAACGTTAGATATTATGCATTCAAGACAAGGTAATTTGCTTCAAAGATTTAACTGATCTTTTTTTTTTTTTTGGGGGGGGGGGGGGGGGGGTAAGATCATCACATTCACATTCAAGTTGTTTTTAAAAACATAGGAATACATTCCTCAGTTAGGAACTTGTAGACAAGAAAATGAAAAAGGAATACTTCTAAGTTTAAGTGGCTTTTTAAATTTCAGTACCAGAATCTTTCCCGGACATAATTCGAACCACAATTTCAGTGGGAGTGTTTTTGTTTGTTAGTTTGTTTTGATTTTATTTTGTTTTCTTTTTTTTAAATGGGACCAATTTTTCGATGAAACAGAAGATAACTTAAAATATATAAACTTTAATAATAATGATTAAAAAAATAAAATATTAGATGTGAAGAAAATCTAACCTGGAGTAAGTCTGATAAAATACAGCACCGTTTCCATTATACTGATATGATGTCAAATCCGTCCAAAATGGACATATGATCTGTCGTCCAGAAATAACTGCCGAACTCATTTCATTAATAGAAAGACTGTTGTATCTCTCACCCATGCCTATTATACCATTTGTGCCAACCTGCATATTTACAATGTGTAAAAAAAGTAAAAAAAAATACTTTTTTCTAAGTATCACTGTCTGTTTTCATAAAGACTAAATTAAATCCAGATATACAGAAAATAGCGTTATATCTTTATTTTATTTTAATCATATCTATAATTTATAAGTAGGGATGGCAATCCATTGCAGAATTGCTAATGGGTTAAAGTATCAGTCACATTATCAAGCGATGGGGTATAGTATGATAATACTATGGGTAAAAAATTTATTTCAGAAACAAGTGCCTGTGGAGGGGGTATACGATTAGAAACCGATGCATTTTTTGTTGAAAATGAGATGGTTGCCGGCCGGACACCACTAGTGATCGGACGGTGACTGACGCCATTTTGCGAATCGGTGGGGTCATCGGTAGGAAATAATTCGTGGTTAAAATTTAGCGATGTCTCCAACGATGCCTCACAACGCTCCTCATCGGCAACCAATCATTAACACATCTTTCAAGGATCGGCTGATGTATAGTTGAGCGTCGTCCAATATCCGTTGAATCTGAGGTCAATGGGGGTTGAGTAGTGTTCAACAGATCATCGGTCGATGTTCGAGCAAACATTGGCCCGTAGTCGACCGATGTACGATCGATGTTCACCAATGTATGAGCGATGTAATATACATCAGCCGATTATCCTGGAACACCGTTTTATGATTAGCAATGCATCGCTGGGCCTTTGTAAGTCCGACCGGCAACCACGTCATTTTTATCATAAAACGCATTGGTTGCACATCGTATACCCAACGCTGGATAATGTGACTGGTATGTTAAGGACTACTAGGCCAGAGACCGATGTTGGGGCATCGTTAACACCACGGATTACCACCGGTCTACGGCTACCGTCCGGGAAATGTGACCTAGGCATAACCGCAAACATTTCCCACCTATTAACCGGTTAGTCGTATCAAGATATACGTATACATTTTGAAATATTTTCTTTTCATACACACAAGAAAGCTAAAAAGACGTTAGAATTAAATTGTTTATTATTTTGATCAGGGAATTTTATGTATATAAAAGTGTGTTTTTTTTTATTTAAATAGACAAGAACAATTTAAGAAAACCATGAATCTTGCTGAGAAGTCAGTCAGGGATAATTTTCCAACGCAGATGTTAAAGAAGTTAATTCTGCATTGTCAACATACATGTAATTAGACTATGTCTGAACGCTAACTTTATTAAAAATACAACGTTCTTTATAATAATATAGTTTAATAGATAACGGCAAATATTGACATACTATAATTAAAAGTGCTTAACGTTGATGTTTTAATATCATTAAAAATCCACAGGACTATCTGGGTAACAGCATGATGTTTTAAAAACAGTAATTAACACTTTACGAATTGACCAATTACCCTGCGACCTCAATCTGGAGAGCTATAATTACCTCCAAATATTCTTCATTATAAGATGTGTTAAACACTAAAATAAAAATCTATGCAGCGCTTTCCTTTCTGAAAAAAACAAAAAAAAGGAACGGAAGGAATTTTAAGGAAACTGGGCTCAAATTTACATGTTTTATTTTTTTCCGACTAACCGATTACGGATTTTCTAACCGATTAATATCATTCCGACCGATTAATCGATTAACTGGTTACAAATTGCCATCCCTACTTATATGCAAAAAATATGACAGATCACGCGTGACAACGGTTCAGTGGATCGCGTACTTTTTGATTAACCTTTCACAATGACGTCATCTTCAGCATTAGCTAGCCATAAACTGGACAGAATACCTCACAAATTAAAATCGTTTGAATACCGCAAATATCAACTTCAAAGGTTTCGGATCAACAGAGTTTGACCACAGCAACATGCACCAGTACCGCTGAAGCATTATCGCAAGCCTGATGTAAATGTCAGAGTGCATAGGCTTTGTAAATAACGTTTCACAAGAATCTGCTTTTGAAAGGATGATAGATTTGGTGTTGATGTATGAAAAATGGTATTACATATATATGTATATACATATATACAAGGAGGGAAAACGCAGTCATGTTCGACTTGTTTGACTAAGTTAATCGCATTCTTTGGAATTCACAACAACCTGTTTCTGACAATCGTTCGATATAAACCAAACTGAGCATACACAGGAAAAATTGGATACATGTATGCATGACAGCTAAAAACAGTAACATTCCTAGACTCAGCAACAGCTGACAAAGCTCTACATTTAGATTGGGACTCCAATACAGTTTTTATACACTCTTCCTTCCATCAGATGCATTGTTAAGTATTTTGTCGAGGGGGATACTAGTCATAAGATATTGATTTTTGAGTTTGAATGGTAAAATACCTGTATATGATTTATAAATATAGATATTTGTAAAAAGTGAGGCTTGTATGTTTTTGTAAATGAAATTTGAATGAGAGAAACTGTTTCAGACAATGATGATCTGTGAAAAAACGTATTATGAATTTTAAAAGGTAACGTCATTAAAAGACATTTGATTTACAATTGCTATCTTGTGAAAGCAGTTAAGCGATAAAAAATTAAACATTGACTCTCAAAAGTATACAGCTGGAAGTAGTGTCAGCTAAAGAAATTTCAAATGATTGAAAATGCTTTTAATGAGGTATATGTATATGTTGAATGTAAAGGAATAGTATATTTGAAAACCTCATGATGCTCTGTTGTCAAATGGTACAATATTGCTGAGGTTGTTCCATGGTTACAAAAGATGTTGATTTAAAGTTAAGAAACATAATTTCTAATTCTATTAAATAAAATGGATTGAAGTTTCAGATCTCAACAAAACGCTTTTTTTTTACATCTATAGATGTACTCATTTTAATTTTTTTAAAAACAGATTTAAAAAGATTTAATTTCTAGAACACCCCTCGTACATATTTATTTATGTGGTATTTGTTTAAGTATTTTTTTCAAAAGACATGAAGTTATTTGAACTTAGTTTTTGATTTTCAAATGCAACTGCTTGCTAAAAAATTCTAACTCAAAACAAAAGAGAACTCTAAAGTATCGAAAAACTTCATTTTCTTATAACTACATATGAACTTACATAAACAATCGAAAATCCACCATCTGACCCATCTCCAACGAATACTTGGGTTTCCGATTGCAATTTAGCACTTGTAAGGTCATCACCAACCAAGGAAAAATCTCCAGCACTAGTCCCATACTCCAGAGTTAAAGTAGTTGTAGTAGTTGGACTTTCAGTAGTTGTGGTAAATGTCAGAGCCTCAGTTGTAGTAGTGGTCAAGGCTTCTGTAGTGGTAGTTGTTGGTGGCTGTGTAGTTGTTGTAGTGGTTGGACTTTCAGTGGTTGTGGTAGTTGTTGGTGCTTCAGTAGTAGTAGTAGTGGTCAAGACTTCTGTAGTGGTAGTTGTTGGTGCCTGTGTAGTTGTTGTAGTGGTTGGACTTTCAGTGGTTGTGGTAGTTATTGGTGCTTCAGTAGTAGTAGTTGTTGTGGTCAAGGCTTCTGTAGTGGTAGTTGTTGGTGCCTGTGTAGTTGTTGTAGTGGTTGGACTTTCAGTGGTTGTGGTAGTTGTTGGTGCTTCAGTAGTAGTAGTAGTGGTCAAGGCTTCTGTAGTGGTAGTTGTTGGTGCCTGTGTAGTTGTTGTAGTGGTTGGACTTTCAGTGGTTGTGGTAGTTGTTGGTGCTTCAGTAGTAGTAGTAGTGGTCAAGGCTTCTGTAGTGGTAGTTCTTGGTGCCAGTGTAGTTTTTGTTGTGGTTGGACTTTCAGTGGTTGTGGTAGTTGTTGGTGCTTCAGTAGTAGTAGTAGTGGTCAAGGCTTCTGTAGTGGTTGTTGTTGGTGCCTGTGTAGTTGTTGTAGTGGTTGGACTTTCAGTGCTTGTGGTAGTTGTTGGTGCTTCAGTAGTAGTAGTAGTAGTGGTCAAGGCTTCTGTAGTGGTAGTTGTTGGTGCCTGTGTAGTTGTTGTAGTTGTTGGACTTTCAGTGGTTGTGGTAGTTGTTGGTGCTTCAGTAGTAGTAGTAGTAGTGGTCAAGGCTTCTGTAGTGGTAGTTGTTGGTGCCTGTGTAGTTGTTGTAGTGGTTGGACTTTCAGTGGTTGTGGTAGTTGTTGGTGCTTCAGTAGTAGTAGTGGTCAAGGCTTCTGTAGTGGTAGTTGTTGGTGCCTGTGTAGTTGTTGTAGTGGTTGGACTTTCAGTGGTTGTGCTAGTTGTTGGTGCTTCAGTAGTAGTAGTAGTGGTCAAAGCTTTTGTAGTGGTTGTTGTTGGTGCCTGTGTAGTTGTTGTAGTGGTTGGACTTTCAGTGGTTGTGGTAGTTGTTGGTGCTTCAGTAGTAGTAGTAGTGGTCAAGGCTTCTGTAGTGGTAGTTGTTGGTGCCTGTGTAGTTGTTGTAGTTGTTGGACTTTCAGTGGTTGTGGTAGTTGTTGGTGCTTCAGTAGTAGTAGTAGTGGTCAAGGCTTCTGTAGTGGTAGTTGTTGGTGCCTGTGTAGTTGTTGTAGTGGTTGGACTTTCAGTGGTTGTGGTAGTTGTTGGTGCTTCAGTAGTAGTAGTAGTGGTCAAGGCTTCTGTAGTGGTAGTTCTGGGTGCCTGTGTGGTTGTTGTACTGGTTGGACTTTCAGTGGTTGTGGTAGTTGTTGGTGCTTCAGTAGTAGTAGTAGTGGTCAAGGCTTCTGTAGTGGTAGTTGTTGGTGCCTGTGTAGTTGTTGTAGTGGTTAGACTTTCAGTGGTTGTGGTAGTTGTTGGTGCTTCAGTAGTAGTAGTAGTGGTCAAGGCTTCTGTAGTGGTAGTTGTTGGTGCCTGTGTAGTTGTTGTAGTGGTTGGACTTTCAGTGGTTGTGGTAGTTGTTGGTGCTTCAGTAGTAGTAGTAGTGGTGGTCAAGGCTTCTGTAGTGGTAGTTGTTGGTGCCTGTGTAGTTGTTGTAGTGGTTGGACTTTCAGTGGTTGTGGTAGTTGTTGGTGCTTCAGTAGTAGTAGTAGTGGTCAAGGCTTCTGTAGTGGCAGCTGTTGGTGCCTGTGTAGTTGTTGTAGTGGTTGGACTTTCAGTGGTTGTGGTAGTTGTTGGTGCTTCAGTAGTAGTAGTGGTCAAGGCTTCTGTAGTGGTAGTTGTTGGTGCCTGTGTAGTTGTTGTAGTGGTTGGACTTTCAGTGGTTGTGGTAGTTGTTGGTGCTTCAGTAGTAGTAGTAGTGGTCAAGGCTTCTGTAGTGGTAGTTGTTGGTGCCTGTGTAGTTGTTGTAGTGGTTGGACTTTCAGTGGTTGTGGTAGTTGTTGGTGCTTCAGTAGTAGTAGTAGTGGTCAAGGCTTCTGTAGTGGTAGTTGTTGGTGCCTGTGTAGTTGTTGTAGTGGTTGGACTTTCAGTGGTTGTGGTAGTTATTGATGCTTCAGTAGTTGTAGTAGTGGTCAAGGCCTCTGTAGTGGTAGTTGTTGGTGCCTGTGTAGTTGTTGTAGTGGTTGGACTTTCAGTGGTTGTTGTAGTTGTTGGTGCTTCAGTAGTAGTAGTAGTGGTCAAGGCTTCTGTAGTGGTAGTTGTTGGTGCCTGTGTAGTTGTTGTAGTGGTTGGACTTTCAGTGGTTGTGGTTGTTGGTGCTTCAGTAGTTGTAGTAGTGGTCAAGGCTTCTGTAGTGATAGTTGTTGGTGCCTGTGTAGTTGTTGTAGTGGTTGGACTTTCAGTGGTTGTGGTAGTTGTTGGTGCTTCAGTAGTAGTAGTAGTGGTCAAGGCTTCTGTAGTGGTAGTTGTTGGTGCCTGTGTAGTTGTTGTAGTGGTTGGACTTTCAGTGGTTGTGGTAGTTGTTGGTGCTTCAGTAGTAGTAGTAGTGGTCAAGGCTTCTGTAGTGGTAGTTGTTGGTGCCTGTGTAGTTGTTGTAGTGGTTGGACTTTCAGTGGTTGTGGTAGTTGTTGGTGCTTCAGTAGTAGTAGTAGTGGTCAAGGCTTCTGTAGTGGTAGTTGTTGGTGCCTGTGTAGTTGTTGTAGTGGTTGGACTTTCAGTGGTTGTGGTAGTTGTTGGTGCTTCAGTAGTAGTAGTAGTGGTCAAGGCTTCTGTAGTGGTAGTTGTTGGTGCCTGTGTAGTTGTTGTAGTGGTTGGACTTTCAGTGGTTGTGGTAGTTGTTGGTGCTTCAGTAGTAGTAGTAGTGGTCAAGGCTTCTGTAGTGGTAGTTGTTGGTGCCTGTGTAGTTGTTGTAGTGGTTGGACTTTCAGTGGTTGTGGTAGTTGTTGGTGCTTCAGTAGTAGTAGTAGTGGTCAAGGCTTCTGTAGTGGTAGTTGTTGGTGCCTGTGTAGTTGTTGTAGTGGTTGGACTTTCAGTGGTTGTGGTAGTTGTTGGTGCTTCAGTAGTAGTAGTAGTGGTCAAGGCTTCTGTAGTGGTAGTTGTTGGTGCCTGTGTAGTTGTTGTAGTGGTTGGACTTTCAGTGGTTGTGGTAGTTGTTGGTGCTTCAGTAGTAGTAGTAGTGGTCAAGGCTTCTGTAGTGGTAGTTGTTGGTGCCTGTGTAGTTGTTGTAGTGGTTGGACTTTCAGTGGTTGTGGTAGTTGTTGGTGCTTCAGTAGTAGTAGTAGTGGTCAAGGCTTCTGTAGTGGTAGTTGTTGGTGCCTGTGTAGTTGTTGTAGTGGTTGGACTTTCAGTGGTTGTGGTAGTTGTTGGTGCTTCAGTAGTAGTAGTAGTGGTCAAGGCTTCTGTAGTGGTAGTTGTTGGTGCCTGTGTAGTTGTTGTAGTGGTTGGACTTTCAGTGGTTGTGGTAGTTGTTGGTGCTTCAGTAGTAGTAGTAGTGGTCAAGGCTTCTGTAGTGGTAGTTGTTGGTGCCTGTGTAGTTGTTGTAGTGGTTGGACTTTCAGTGGTTGTGGTAGTTGTTGGTGCTTCAGTAGTAGTAGTAGTAGTGGTCAAGGCTTCTGTAGTGGTAGTTGTTGGTGCCTGTGTAGTTGTTGTAGTGGTTGGACTTTCAGTGGTTGTGGTAGTTGTTGGTGCTTCAGTAGTAGTAGTAGTGGTCAAGGCTTCTGTAGTGGTAGTTGTTGGTGCCTGTGTAGTTGTTGTAGTGGTTGGACTTTCAGTGGTTGTGGTAGTTGTTGGTGCTTCAGTAGTAGTAGTAGTGGTCAAGGCTTCTGTAGTGGTAGTTGTTGGTGCCTGTGTAGTTGTTGTTGTGGTTGGACTTTCAGTGGTTGTGGTAGTTGTTGGTGCTTCAGTAGTAGTAGTAGTAGTGGTCAAGGCTTCTGTAGTGGTAGTTGTTGGTGCCTGTGTAGTTGTTGTAGTGGTTGGACTTTCAGTGGTTGTGGTAGTTGTTGGTGCTTCAGTAGTAGTAGTAGTGGTCAAGGCTTCTGTAGTGGTAGTTGTTGGTGCCTGTGTAGTTGTTGTAGTGGTTGGACTTTCAGTGGTTGTGGTAGTTGTTGGTGCTTCAGTAGTAGTAGTAGTGGTCAAGGCTTCTGTAGTGGTAGTTGTTGGTGCCTGTGTAGTTGTTGTAGTGGTTGGACTTTCAGTGGTTGTGGTAGTTGTTGGTGCTTCAGTAGTAGTAGTAGTGGTCAAGGCTTCTGTAGTGGTAGTTGTTGGTGCCTGTGTAGTTGTTGTAGTGGTTGGACTTTCAGTGGTTGTGGTAGTTGTTGGTGCTTCAGTAGTAGTAGTAGTAGTGGTCAAGGCTTCTGTAGTGGTAGTTGTTGGTGCCTGTGTAGTTGTTGTAGTGGTTGGACTTTCAGTGGTTGTGGTAGTTGTTGGTGCTTCAGTAGTAGTAGTAGTGGTCAAGGCTTCTGTAGTGGTAGTTGTTGGTGCCTGTGTAGTTGTTGTAGTGGTTGGACTTTCAGTGGTTGTGGTAGTTGTTGGTGCTTCAGTAGTAGTAGTAGTGGTCAAGGCTTCTGTAGTGGTAGTTGTTGGTGCCTGTGTAGTTGTTGTAGTGGTTGGACTTTCAGTGGTTGTGGTAGTTGTTGGTGCTTCAGTAGTAGTAGTAGTGGTCAAGGCTTCTGTAGTGGTAGTTGTTGGTGCCTGTGTAGTTGTTGTAGTGGTTGGACTTTCAGTGGTTGTGGTAGTTGTTGGTGCTTCAGTAGTAGTAGTAGTGGTCAAGGCTTCTGTAGTGGTAGTTGTTGGTGCCTGTGTAGTTGTTGTAGTGGTTGGACTTTCAGTGGTTGTGGTAGTTGTTGGTGCTTCAGTAGTAGTAGTAGTGGTCAAGGCTTCTGTAGTGGTAGTTGTTGGTGCCTGTGTAGTTGTTGTAGTGGTTGGACTTTCAGTGGTTGTGGTAGTTGTTGGTGCTTCAGTAGTAGTAGTAGTGGTCAAGGCTTCTGTAGTGGTAGTTGTTGGTGCCTGTGTAGTTGTTGTAGTGGTTGGACTTTCAGTGGTTGTGGTAGTTGTTGGTGCTTCAGTAGTAGTAGTAGTAGTGGTCAAGGCTTCTGTAGTGGTAGTTGTTGGTGCCTGTGTAGTTGTTGTAGTGGTTGGACTTTCAGTGGTTGTGGTAGTTGTTGGTGCTTCAGTAGTAGTAGTAGTGGTCAAGGCTTCTGTAGTGGTAGTTGTTGGTGCCTGTGTAGTTGTTGTAGTGGTTGGACTTTCAGTGGTTGTGGTAGTTGTTGGTGCTTCAGTAGTAGTAGTAGTGGTCAAGGCTTCTGTAGTGGTAGTTGTTGGTGCCTGTGTAGTTGTTGTAGTGGTTGGACTTTCAGTGGTTGTGGTAGTTGTTGGTGCTTCAGTAGTAGTAGTAGTAGTGGTCAAGGCTTCTGTAGTGGTAGTTGTTGGTGCCTGTGTAGTTGTTGTAGTGGTTGGACTTTCAGTGGTTGTGGTAGTTGTTGGTGCTTCAGTAGTAGTAGTAGTGGTCAAGGCTTCTGTAGTGGTAGTTGTTGGTGCCTGTGTAGTTGTTGTAGTGGTTGGACTTTCAGTGGTTGTGGTAGTTGTTGGTGCTTCAGTAGTAGTAGTAGTGGTCAAGGCTTCTGTAGTGGTAGTTGTTGGTGCCTGTGTAGTTGTTGTAGTGGTTGGACTTTCAGTGGTTGTGGTAGTTGTTGGTGCTTCAGTAGTAGTAGTAGTGGTGGTCAAGGCTTCTGTAGTGGTAGTTGTTGGTGCCTGTGTAGTTGTTGTAGTGGTTGGACTTTCAGTGGTTGTGGTAGTTGTTGGTGCTTCAGTAGTAGTAGTAGTGGTCAAGGCTTCTGTAGTGGTAGTTGTTGGTGCCTGTGTAGTTGTTGTAGTGGTTGGACTTTCAGTGGTTGTGGTAGTTGTTGGTGCTTCAGTAGTAGTAGTAGTAGTGGTCAAGGCTTCTGTAGTGGTAGTTGTTGGTGCCTGTGTAGTTGTTGTAGTGGTTGGACTTTCAGTGGTTGTGGTAGTTGTTGGTGCTTCAGTAGTAGTAGTAGTGGTCAAGGCTTCTGTAGTGGTAGTTGTTGGTGCCTGTGTAGTTGTTGTAGTGGTTGGACTTTCAGTGGTTGTGGTAGTTGTTGGTGCTTCAGTAGTAGTAGTAGTGGTCAAGGCTTCTGTAGTGGTAGTTGTTGGTGCCTGTGTAGTTGTTGTAGTGGTTGGACTTTCAGTGGTTGTGGTAGTTGTTGGTGCTTCAGTAGTAGTAGTAGTAGTGGTCAAGGCTTCTGTAGTGGTAGTTGTTGGTGCCTGTGTAGTTGTTGTAGTGGTTGGACTTTCAGTGGTTGTGGTAGTTGTTGGTGCTTCAGTAGTAGTAGTAGTGGTCAAGGCTTCTGTAGTGGTAGTTGTTGGTGCCTGTGTAGTTGTTGTAGTGGTTGGACTTTCAGTGGTTGTGGTAGTTGTTGGTGCTTCAGTAGTAGTAGTAGTGGTCAAGGCTTCTGTAGTGGTAGTTGTTGGTGCCTGTGTAGTTGTTGTAGTGGTTGGACTTTCAGTGGTTGTGGTAGTTGTTGGTGCTTCAGTAGTAGTAGTAGTAGTGGTCAAGGCTTCTGTAGTGGTAGTTGTTGGTGCCTGTGTAGTTGTTGTAGTGGTTGGACTTTCAGTGGTTGTGGTAGTTGTTGGTGCTTCAGTAGTAGTAGTAGTGGTCAAGGCTTCTGTAGTGGTAGTTGTTGGTGCCTGTGTAGTTGTTGTAGTGGTTGGACTTTCAGTGGTTGTGGTAGTTGTTGGTGCTTCAGTAGTAGTAGTAGTGGTCAAGGCTTCTGTAGTGGTAGTTGTTGGTGCCTGTGTAGTTGTTGTAGTGGTTGGACTTTCAGTGGTTGTGGTAGTTGTTGGTGCTTCAGTAGTAGTAGTAGTGGTCAAGGCTTCTGTAGTGGTAGTTGTTGGTGCCTGTGTAGTTGTTGTAGTGGTTGGACTTTCAGTGGTTGTGGTAGTTGTTGGTGCTTCAGTAGTAGTAGTAGTGGTCAAGGCTTCTGTAGTGGTAGTTGTTGGTGCCTGTGTAGTTGTTGTAGTGGTTGGACTTTCAGTGGTTGTGGTAGTTGTTGGTGCTTCAGTAGTAGTAGTAGTGGTCAAGGCTTCTGTAGTGGTAGTTGTTGGTGCCTGTGTAGTTGTTGTAGTGGTTGGACTTTCAGTGGTTGTGGTAGTTGTTGGTGCTTCAGTAGTAGTAGTAGTGGTCAAGGCTTCTGTAGTGGTAGTTGTTGGTGCCTGTGTAGTTGTTGTAGTGGTTGGACTTTCAGTGGTTGTGGTAGTTGTTGGTGCTTCAGTAGTAGTAGTAGTGGTCAAGGCTTCTGTAGTGGTAGTTGTTGGTGCCTGTGTAGTTGTTGTAGTGGTTGGACTTTCAGTGGTTGTGGTAGTTGTTGGTGCTTCAGTAGTAGTAGTAGTGGTCAAGGCTTCTGTAGTGGTAGTTGTTGGTGCCTGTGTAGTTGTTGTAGTGGTTGGACTTTCAGTGGTTGTGGTAGTTGTTGGTGCTTCAGTAGTAGTAGTAGTGGTGGTCAAGGCTTCTGTAGTGGTAGTTGTTGGTGCCTGTGTAGTTGTTGTAGTGGTTGGACTTTCAGTGGTTGTGGTAGTTGTTGGTGCTTCAGTAGTAGTAGTTCTTGTGGTCAAGGCTTCTGTAGTGGTAGTTGTTGGTGCCTGTGTAGTTGTTGTAGTGGTTGGACTTTCAGTGGTTGTGGTAGTTGTTGGTGCTTCAGTAGTAGTAGTAGTGGTCAAGGCTTCTGTAGTGGTAGTTGTTGGTGCCTGTGTAGTTGTTGTAGTGGTTGGACTTTCAGTGGTTGTGGTAGTTGTTGGTGCTTCAGTAGTAGTAGTAGTGGTCAAGGCTTCTGTAGTGGTAGTTGTTGGTGCCTGTGTAGTTGTTGTAGTGGTTGGACTTTCAGTGGTTGTGGTAGTTGTTGGTGCTTCAGTAGTAGTAGTAGTGGTCAAGGCTTCTGTAGTGGTAGTTGTTGGTGCCTGTGTAGTTGTTGTAGTGGTTGGACTTTCAGTGGTTGTGGTAGTTGTTGGTGCTTCAGTAGTAGTAGTAGTGGTCAAGGCTTCTGTAGTGGTAGTTGTTGGTGCCTGTGTAGTTGTTGTAGTGGTTGGACTTTCAGTGGTTGTGGTAGTTGTTGGTGCTTCAGTAGTAGTAGTAGTGGTCAAGGCTTCTGTAGTGGTAGTTGTTGGTGCCTGTGTAGTTGTTGTAGTGGTTGGACTTTCAGTGGTTGTGGTAGTTGTTGGTGCTTCAGTAGTAGTAGTAGTGGTCAAGGCTTCTGTAGTGGTAGTTGTTGGTGCCTGTGTAGTTGTTGTAGTGGTTGGACTTTCAGTGGTTGTGGTAGTTGTTGGTGCTTCAGTAGTAGTAGTAGTGGTCAAGGCTTCTGTAGTGGTAGTTGTTGGTGCCTGTGTAGTTGTTGTAGTGGTTGGACTTTCAGTGGTTGTGGTAGTTGTTGGTGCTTCAGTAGTAGTAGTAGTGGTCAAGGCTTCTGTAGTGGTAGTTGTTGGTGCCTGTGTAGTTGTTGTAGTGGTTGGACTTTCAGTGGTTGTGGTAGTTGTTGGTGCTTCAGTAGTAGTAGTAGTGGTCAAGGCTTCTGTAGTGGTAGTTGTTGGTGCCTGTGTAGTTGTTGTAGTGGTTGGACTTTCAGTGGTTGTGGTAGTTGTTGGTGCTTCAGTAGTAGTAGTAGTGGTCAAGGCTTCTGTAGTGGTAGTTGTTGGTGCCTGTGTAGTTGTTGTAGTGGTTGGACTTTCAGTGGTTGTGGTAGTTGTTGGTGCTTCAGTAGTAGTAGTAGTGGTCAAGGCTTCTGTAGTGGTAGTTGTTGGTGCCTGTGTAGTTGTTGTAGTTGTTGGACTTTCAGTGGTTGTGGTAGTTGTTGGTGCTTCAGTAGTAGTAGTAGTGGTCAAGGCTTCTGTAGTGGTAGTTGTTGGTGCCTGTGTAGTTGTTGTAGTGGTTGGACTTTCAGTGGTTGTGGTAGTTGTTGGTGCTTCAGTAGTAGTAGTAGTGGTCAAGGCTTCTGTAGTGGTAGTTGTTGGTGCCTGTGTAGTTGTTGTAGTGGTTGGACTTTCAGTGGTTGTGGTAGTTGTTGGTGCTTCAGTAGTAGTAGTAGTGGTCAAGGCTTCTGTAGTGGTAGTTGTTGGTGCCTGTGTAGTTGTTGTAGTGGTTGGACTTTCAGTGGTTGTGGTAGTTGTTGGTGCTTCAGTAGTAGTAGTAGTAGTGGTCAAGGCTTCTGTAGTGGTAGTTGTTGGTGCCTGTGTAGTTGTTGTAGTGGTTGGACTTTCAGTGGTTGTGGTAGTTGTTGGTGCTTCAGTAGTTGTAGTAGTGGTCAAGGCTTCTGTAGTGGTAGTTGTTGGTGCCTGTGTAGTTGTTGTAGTGGTTGGACTTTCAGTGGTTGTGGTAGTTGTTGGTGCTTCAGTAGTAGTAGTAGTGGTCAAGGCTTCTGTAGTGGTAGTTGTTGGTGCCTGTGTAGTTGTTGTAGTGGTTGGACTTTCAGTGGTTGTGGTCGTTGTTGGTGTTTCAGTAGTAGTAGTAGTGGTCAAGGCTTCTGTAGTGGTAGTTGTTGGTGCCTGTGTAGTTGTTGTAGTTGTTGGACTTTCAGTGGTTGTGGTAGTTGTTGGTGCTTCAGTAGTAGTAGTAGTGGTCAAGGCTTCTGTAGTGGTAGTTGTTGGTGCCTGTGTAGTTGTTGTAGTGGTTGGACTTTCAGTGGTTGTGGTAGTTGTTGGTGCTTCAGTAGTAGTAGTAGTGGTCAAGGCTTCTGTAGTGGTAGTTGTTGGTGCCTGTGTAGTTGTTGTAGTGGTTGGACTTTCAGTGGTTGTGGTAGTTGTTGGTGCTTCAGTAGTAGTAGTAATGGTCAAGGCTTCTGTAGTGGTAGTTGTTGGTGGCTGTGTAGTTGTTGTAGTGGTTGGACTTTCTGTGGTTGTGGTAGTTTTTAGTGCTTCAGTAGTAGTAGTAGTGGTCAAGGTTTCTGTAGTGGTAGTTGTTGGTGCCTGTGTAGTTGTTGTAGTGGTTGGACTTTCAGTGGTTGTGGTAGTTGTTGGTGCTTCAGTAGTAGTAGTAGTGGTCAAGGCTTCTGTAGTGGTAGTTGTTGGTGCCTGTGTAGTTGTTGTAGTGGTTGGACTTTCAGTGGTTGTGGTAGTTGTTGGTACTTCAGTAGTAGTAGTAGTAGTGGTCAAGGCTTCTGTAGTGGTAGTTGTTGGTGCCTGTGTAGTTGTTGTAGTGGTTGGACTTTCAGTGGTTGTGGTAGTTGTTGGTGCTTCAGTAGTTGTAGTAGTGGTAGTCAAGGCTTCTGTAGTGGTAGTTGTTGGTGCCTGTGTAGTTGTTGTAGTTGTTGGACTTTCAGTGGTTGTGGTAGTTGTTGGTGCTTCAGTAGTAGTAGTAGTGGTCAAGGCTTCTGTAGTGGTAGTTGTAGGTGCCTGTGTAGTTGTTGTAGTTGTTGGACTTTCAGTGGTTGTGGTAGTTGTTGGTGCTTCAGTAGTAGTAGTAGTGGTCAAGGTTTCTGTAGTGGTAGTTGTAGGTGCCTGTGTAGTTGTTGTAGTGGTTGGACTTTCAGTGGTTGTGGTAGTTGTTGGTGCTTCAGTAGTAGTAGTAGTGGTCAAGGCTTCTGTAGTGGTAGTTGTTGGTGCCTGTGTAGTTGTTGTAGTGGTTGGACTTTCAGTGGTTGTGGTAGTTGTTGGTGCTTCAGTAGTAGTAGTAGTGATCAAGGCTTCTGTAGTAGTAGTTGTTGGTGCCTGTGTAGTTGTTGTAGTTGTTGGACTTTCAGTGGTTGTGGTAGTTGTTGGTGCTTCAGTAGTAGTAGTAGTGGTCAAGGCTTCTGTAGTGGTAGTTGTTGGTGCCTTTGTAGTTGTTGTAGTGGTTGGACTTTCAGTGCTTGTGGTAGTTGTTGGTGCTTCAGTAGTAGTAGTAGTGGTCAAGGCTTCTGTAGTGGTAGTTGTTGGTGCCTGTGTAGTTGTTGTAGTGGTTGGACTTTCAGTGGTTGTGGTAGTTGTTGGTGCTTCAGTAGTAGTAGTAGTGGTCAAGGCTTCTGTAGTGGTAGTTGTTGGTGCCTGTGTAGTTGTTGTAGTGGTTGGACTTTCAGTGGTTGTGGTAGTTGTTGGTGCTTCAGTAGTAGTAGTAGTGATCAAGGCTTCTGTAGTCGTAGTTGTTGGTGCCTGTGTAGTTGTTGTAGTGGTTGGACTTTCAGTGCTTGTGGTAGTTGTTGGTGCTTCAGTGGTAGTAGTAGTGGTCAAGGCTTCTGTAGTGGTAGTTGTTGGTGCCTGTGTAGTTGTTGTAGTGGTTGGACTTTCAGTGGTTGTGGTAGTTGTTTGTGCTTCAGTAGTAGTAGTAGTGGTCAAGGCTTCTGTAGTGGTAGTTGTTGGTGCCTGTGTAGTTGTTGTAGTGGTTGGACTTTCAGTGGTTGTGGTAGTTGTTGGTGCTTCAGTAGTAGTAGTAGTGGTCAAGGCTTCTGTAGTGGTAGTTGTTGGTGCCTGTGTAGTTGTTGTAGTGGTTGGACTTTCAGTGGTTGTGGTAGTTGTTGGTGCTTCAGTAGTAGTAGTAGTGGTCAAGGCTTCTGTAGTGGTAGTTGTTGGTGCATGTGTAGTTGTTGTAGTGGTTGGACTTTCAGTGGTTGTGGTAGTTGTTGGTGCTTCAGTAGTAGTAGTAGTGGTCAAGGCTTCTGTAGTGGTAGTTGTTGGTGCCTGTGTAGTTGTTGTAGTGGTTGGACTTTCAGTGGTTGTGGTAGTTATTGGTGCTTCAGTAGTTGTAGTAGTGGTCAAGGCCTCTGTAGTGGTAGTTGTTGGGGCCTGTGTAGTTGTTGTAGTGGTTGGACTTTCAGTGGTTGTTGTAGTTGTTGGTGCTTCAGTAGTAGTAGTAGTGGTCAAGACTTCTGTAGTGGTAGTTGTTGGTGCCTGTGTAGTTGTTGTAGTGGTTGGACTTTCAGTGGTTGATGTAGTTATTGGTGCTTCAGTAGTTGTAGTAGTGGTCAAGGCTTCTGTAGTGGTAGTTGTTGGTGCCTGTGTAGTTGTTGTAGTTTTTGGACTTTCAGTGGTTGTGGTAGTTGTTGGTGCTTCAGTAGTAGTAGTAGTGGTCAAGGCTTCTGTAGTGGTAGTTGTTGGTGCCTGTGTAGTTGTTGTAGTGGTTGGACTTTCAGTGGTTGTGGTAGTTGTTGGTGCTTCAGTAGTAGTAGTAGTAGTGGTCAAGGCTTCTGTAGTGGTAGTTGTTGGTGCCTGTGTAGTTGTTGTAGTGGTTGGACTTTCAGAGGTTGTGGTAGTTGTTGGTGCTTCAGTAGTAGTAGTAATGATCAAGGCTTCTGTAGTAGTAGTTGATGGTGGCTGTGCAGTTGTTGTAGTGGTTGGACTTTCAGTGGTTGTGGTAGTTGTTGGTGCTTCAGTAGTAGTAGTAGTGGTAAAGGTTTCTGTATTGGTAGTTGTTGGTGCCTGTGTAGTTGTTGTAGTGGTTGGACTTTCAGTGCTTGTGGTAGTTGTTGGTGCTTCAGTAGTAGTAGTAGTGGTCAAGGCTTCTGTAGTGGTAGTTGTTGGTGCCTGTGTAGTTGTTGTAGTGGTTGGACTTTCAGTGGTTGTGCTGGTTGTTTGTTCTTCAGTAGTAGTAGTAGTAGTGGTCAAGGCATCTGTAGTGGTAGTTGTTGGTGCCTGTGTAGTTGTTGTAGTGGTTGGACTTTCAGTGGTTGTGGTAGTTGTTGGTTCTTCAGTAGTAGTAGTAGTGGTGGTCAAGGCTTCTGTAGTGGTAGTTGTTGGTGCCTGTGTAGTTGTTGTAGTGGTTGGACTTTCAGTGGTTGTGGTAGTTGTTGGTGCTTCAGTAGTAGTAGTAGTGGTCAAGGCTTCTGTAGTGGTAGTTGTTGGTGCCTGTGTAGTTGTTGTAGTTGTTGGACTTTCAGTGGTTGTGGTAGTTGTTGGTGCTTCAGTAGTAGTAGTAGTGGTCAAGGTTTCTGTAGTGGTAGTTGTAGGTGCCTGTGTAGTTGTTGTAGTGGTTGGACTTTCAGTTGTTGTGGTAGTTGTTGGTGCTTCAGTAGTAGTAGTAGTGGTCAAGGCTTCTGTAGTGGTAGTTGTTGGTGCCTGTGTAGTTGTTGTAGTGGTTGGACTTTCAGTGGTTGTGGTAGTTGTTGGTGCTTCAGTAGTAGTAGTAGTGATCAAGGCTTCTGTAGTAGTAGTTGTTGGTGCCTGTGTAGTTGTTGTAGTTGTTGGACTTTCAGTGGTTGTGGTAGTTGTTGGTGCTTCAGTAGTAGTAGTAGTGGTCAAGGCTTCTGTAGTGGTAGTTGTTGGTGCCTTTGTAGTTGTTGTAGTGGTTGGACTTTCAGTGGTTGTGGTAGTTGTTGGTGCTTCAGTAGTAGTAGTAGTGGTCAAGGCTTCTGTAGTGGTAGTTGTTGGTGCCTGTGTAGTTGTTGTAGTGGTTGGACTTTCAGTGGTTGTGGTAGTTGTTGGTGCTTCAGTAGTAGTAGTAGTTGTCAAGGCTTCTGTAGTGGTAGTTGTTGGTGCATGTGTAGTTGTTGTAGTGGTTGGACTTTCAGTGCTTGTGGTAGTTGTTGGTGCTTCAGTAGTAGTAGTAGTGGTCAAGGCTTCAGTAGTGGTAGTTGTTGGTGCCTGTGTAGTTGTTGTAGTTGTTGGACTTTCAGTGGTTGTGGTAGTTATTGGTGCTTCAGTAGTAGTAGTAGTGGTCAAGGCCTCTGTAGTGGTAGTTGTTGGTGCCTGTGTAGTTGTTGTAGTGGTTGGACTTTCAGTGGTTGTTGTAGTTGTTGGTGCTTCAGTAGTAGTAGTAGTGGTCAAGACTTCTGTAGTGGTAGTTGTTGGTGCCTGTGTAGTTGTTGTAGTGGTTGGACTTTCAGTGGTTGATGTAGTTATTGGTGCTTCAGTAGTTGTAGTAGTGGTCAAGGCTTCTGTAGTGGTAGTTGTTGGTGCCTGTGTAGTTGTTGTAGTTGTTGGACTTTCAGTGGTTGTGGTAGTTGTTGGTGCTTCAGTAGTAGTAGTAGTGGTCAAGGCTTCTGTAGTGGTAGTTGTTGGTGCCTGTGTAATTGTTGTAGTGGTTGGACTTTCAGTGGTTGATGTAGTTATTGGTGCTTCAGTAGTTGTAGTAGTGGTCAAGGCTTCTGTAGTGGTAGTTGTTGGTGCCTGTGTAGTTGTTGTAGTGGTTGGACTTTCAGTGGTTGTGGTAGTTGTTGGTGCTTCAGTAGTAGTAGTAGTGGTCAAGGCTTCTGTAGTGGTAGTTGTAGGTGCCTGTGAAGTTGTTGTAGTGGTTGGACTTTCAGTGGTTGTGGTAGTTGTTGGTGCTTCAGTAGTAGTAGTAGTTGTCAAGGCTTCTGTAGTGGTAGTTGTTGGTGCCTGTGTAGTTGTTGTAGTGGTTGGACTTTCAGAGGTTGTGGTAGTTGTTGGTGCTTCAGTAGTAGTAGTAATGATCAAGGCTTCTGTAGTAGTAGTTGTTGGTGCCTGTGTAGTTGTTGTAGTGGTTGGACTTTCAGTGGTTGTGGTAGTTATTGGTGCTTCAGTAGTAGTAGTAGTGGTCAAGGCTTCTGTAGTGGTAGTTGTTGGTGCCTCTGTAGTTGTTGTAGTGGTTGGACTTTCAGTGGTTGTGGTAGTTGTTGGTGCTTCAGTAGTAGTAGTAGTGGTCAAGGCTTCGGTAGTGGTAGTTGTTGGTGCCTGTGTGGTTGTTGTAGTGGTTGGACTTTCAGTGGTTGTGGTAGTTGTTTGTTCTTCAGTAGTAGTAGTAGTAGTAGTGGTCAAGGCATCTGTAGTGGTAGTTGTTGGTGCCTGTGTAGTTGTTGTAGTGGTTGGACTTTCAGTGCTTGTGGTAGTTGTTGGTGCTTCAGTAGTAGTAGTAGTGGTCAAGGATTCTGTAGTGGTAGTTGTTGGTGCCTGTGTAGTTGTTGTAGTGGTTGAAATTTCAGTGGTTGAGGTAGTTGTTGGTGCTTCAGTAGTTGTAGTAGTGGTCAAGGCTTCTGTAGTGGTAGTTGTTGGTGCCTGTGTAGTTGTTGTAGTGGTTGGACTTTCAGTGGTTGTGGTAGTTGTTGGTGCTTCAGTAGTAGTAGTAGTGGTCAAGGCTTCTGTAGTGGTAGTTGTTGGTTCCTGTGTAGTTGTTGTAGTGGTTGGACTTTCAGTGGTTGTGGTAGTTGTTGGTGCTTCAGTAGTAGTAGTAGTGGTCAAGGCTTCTGTAGTGGTAGTTGTTGGTGCCTGTGTAGTTGTTGTAGTGGTTGGACTTTCAGTGCTTGTGGTAGTTGTTGGTGCTTCAGTAGTAGTAGTAGTGGTCAAGGCTTCTGTAGTGGTAGTTGTTGGTGCCTGTGTAGTTGTTGTAGTGGTTGGACTTTCAGTGGTTGTGGTAGTTGTTGGTGCTTCAATAGTAGTAGTAGTGGTCAAGGCTTCTGTAGTGGTAGTTGTTGGTGCCTCTGTAGTTGTTGTAGTGGTTGGACTTTCAGTGGTTGTGGTAGTTGTTGGTGCTTCAGTAGTAGTAGTAGTGGTCAAGGCTTCTGTAGTGGTAGTTGTTGGTGCCTGTGTAGTTGTTGTAGTGGTTGGACTTTCAGTGGTTGTGGTAGTTGTTGGTGCTTCAATAGTAGTAGTAGTGGTCAAGGCTTCTGTAGTGGTAGTTGTTGGTGCCTGTGTAGTTGTTGTAGTGGTTGGACTTTCAGTGGTTGTGGTAGTTGTTGGTGCTTCAGTAGTAGAAGTAGTGGTCAAGGCTTCTGTAGTGGTAGTTGTTGGTGCCTGTGTAGTTGTTGTAGTGGTTGGACTTTCAGTGGTTGATGTAGTTATTGGTGCTTCAGTAGTTTTAGTAGTGGTCAAGGCTTCTGTAGTGGTAGTCGTTGAAGCCTTTGTAGTTGTTGTAGTGGTTGGACTTTCAGTGGTTGTGGTAGTTGTTGGTGCTTCAGTAGTAGTAGTAGTGGTCAAGGCTTCTGTAGTGGTAGTTGTTGGTGCCTGTGTAGTTGTTGTAGTGGTTGGACTTTCAGTTGTTGTGGTAGTTGTTGGTGCTTCAGTAGTAGTAGTAGTGGTCAAGGCTTCTGTAGTGGTAGTTGTTGGTGCCTGTTTAGTTGTTGTAGTGGTTGGTCCTTCTGTGGTTGTGGTTGTTGTTGGTGATTCAGTAGTAGAAGTGTTCAAGGCTTCTGTAATGGCAGTTTTTGGTGCTTCTGTACTTGTTGTATTAGTGTGACTTTCAGCAGCTGTGGTAGTTGTAGGGACTTCAGTAGTAGTGTTCAAGGCTTCCATATTTGTGGTTATTGATGCTTGTGAAATTGTTATAGTGGTTGAACTTTCAGTAGTTGTTTGGTATTCAGTAATAGTGCTCAGGACTTCTGTAGTGGTATTTGTTGGTGCCTCAGTAGTTGTAGTGTTTGAACTTTTAGTAGTCGTAGTATTTGTCTCTGTTTGTGCAACTTGTAGTTTGTTTGTCATAATAATTATGATGATAATTGCTATGTGATACAAAATGTCCTTCATATTCAATCATGTTACTTTGAAACTCAGGTGTCAATCTAATAGAATAGAAAAATGAATAAGGATATTATATTTTGGAATTTGTAAATAAGGTGCTTTTTTGTTTTTAATATTGAATCATATTGCTTTGTAACTCATGTCTCAATCTAGTAGTATATTCAATATATAAGGATAATTTGGAATTTGGTAGATAAAATGTTTTTTTAAGGAGTAGTGATCGTCTTATGGACTTTTACGAAAAGCACTGCCTTTCACAGTTGACGGTTCACTAGACATTTAAACCTGCATCATGTATTGAATTACGAAATTGAAATAAATAAGAACACATTTCTAGTGGTCAAAGGTAGTGTCCCTAATGTTGTTAGGGTTAAAACGTGAGGACCGGGAGTTGAGGGTAGGGTGTTTGTCATTTTCTTTCAGAGTAACTGATCTACGCTTTGAAATAACCCGTTATTTGGTTGAATTAAATGTTCAGCTAAATACTCAGTATTCTATAACGAAAAAGAGCTCCCGTACATTGTTCTGGCGAAAAATTAAGCTGTCAACTGTAAAAGTCAGCGCTACTCGTAAAAGTCCTACAAGAGAGATAATTTCCACGTATAAAATATATACATTCTTTTCAGAGTTTTCATCATCAGATCTTCCTAGCTAATTGAGATCTCTGAGTAATGAATTCGATTTTAGGATGCGATGGAAACATTACCTTTTTATTTTTTTGCCACCACCCCCGCACCCCCCACCCCCGAAAAAAACATTTAAAGTAATATGAGCAGCAAGTTTGACTTGAGAAAATTTGTTGCAAACTTGTTATCAAATTCTCACAGACAGAACCATAAAACATTTTTAATCCTCTGTTGTCCATATTTGGAAGAAGTTTTAATAAGTTTTAATTGGAGCAAAATTACATTATTTACGCCCTGTACATTATTGATTTCTTATATAATGCTATATTACGAAAGCCGGATAGGCTCATTTCTGAAAAGATAAAAAAAGTCAATTATCTCGTTTTAACGAGTTAGTTATCTCTTTATAACGAGTTAGTTTTCTCGTTAAAACGAGTTATAACGAAATACTAACTCGTTTTCACGAAAAAAAATTTTATCTTCTTAGAAATGAGCCTATCCGGCTTTCGTACTGGATAATCGAATGTACAGGAAAAGTCTTTTGAAACAATTTTAATTTCTATTTTGGTTTTATTAATTACAATGATTATTAATCATAACATCATATCATCGCTTATGCTAGCAGATCCTCGAAAGTGACAGTTGTGATACTGATATTTACACTTATAATGGTACTGATATTTACACTTACAAGTAACAGCTTTTCAAAAAGCTTGCCTGACTTAATCAATCAATATCTGTAAGAGTAGTGATAAACCTTTTGAGCAATACTTTTTTGTGTTTGAAATATGTCTTTTTATTTGAGCACATTGTAAAAATATTTAATTATTTAACTTGTAGAAGAACGATGCCTTTGCTGCATTCTGAATAATTGTTAACAGAATGGTTAATGTATGTGGGTTTTCTGCCAATCGCAACTCCTCGGGCCTTATCTAAGGAAGAAGACCACAAATGTATTGTTAATTTATACGCAATGACACCCCCCCCCCTTTTCACAAACTTTGAAATAAAAGCATGGATGATGTGTATAGACCTATTATCTGTGGTATATGGAGTTAACTTTATTCAATGTAATGATATTATCTAAAATATACTATTGAAGGGACTTCTAACTCCGTTTTTACTATGAACAAGAAATGTAGAAAACATCCGATAATGTCGATACATTCGAGTTTGTTTTTCGACCTATGTCGAAAAGACCCAAGAAGATGCGATTGACTTTTCTGCAAGTAGATTGATCTACCCCTGGATCTAAATTTAAAGCTACACCTATTCTGAAATCTGTTGTCAAATCATTCATTGTGAACATTTTAGAGAATGGATATAACTAAATACATATGTTGTAGGAAAGTATTTTCTCCAATGAAGTAAACAGTAATAGTTTGTGTTCTTTGATCTTTTTTTTTTTTTGTTCTGAAATGTGGGTACTATAATTTTTTGAGAACGAAATAGGTAAAACCAACATTTAGGCCTTTGTGGAAAAAGAAATCCAAGATTTCGCACAGGTAATTTCTTTCGTTAAATCGTCTGGAATCTGGTTGAACTGCTTCGATCGTTTGTGGTGATTGGACTAGTCCATTAAAATTTGGAATAAACCAACAGAGGGGAAACAAATTAGAGAAGTCATTTCTTTTGTTTTGCATGTCCATATTCTGATACATACGATTCATATGTTGTTTTAAGGAATAAGATAAAATTTGTAGACAGAATTTCTGAATCATAAGAAGATGGAGGTTACAATTACAAAATTTTATTTAATTCCATTGAAGTTAGCACCCCAATTCATACAATAGAACAATCCATGAAAAGGTGCGAAGATCGCTTACTCGTGACATTTGGCGCGAAAAGAGCGATTCACCCCTTTCGTAGAATATAAATGGACTGATCCAGTAGTATAGAAATGCAGAAAAAAAGATACACGGACACATTGAAAGGGTAAATCACATGGAATAATCTGTTTCATGAAAACAAAGTAAACAAAGTAAATACTGCATTATTTTGCATCAGTAAACCATTGTTTCCCTGAAAAATGTTTCTTTTAAAATGCAGGTAAAAGATTTCCAATGTAAATCAGCTTGCACAAAATCTAGCTCTCTGGGTATGATCTATTAGTTTCGGATCAAGCAATTATCAATCCTTATACAGCCTGACGCCGTGACGTCAGGCAATAAAGCATTGTCATTGAAGAGGCAACGTGATAGTCATCACCGCTTTACTTTTATGATACGGCTGCCTGTTTATCACTTCCAGAAAACGTAAAGTATTGACTTAAAAATTTACGGGTATATTCCTTGAGACAACACTGGCCTTCGGGTATCAACAATTTTAACTTTGAACTTTGAGTTTTACCTACTTTAGAAGAAACTTTTTCCTGATTTTTGAGCAGCAAGTGCTAGGGCCTATATATTTAGCATTTGTATTTCTTATGAGAATTTCTTCTTCTGTGTATCAATATTTGTACCCTTTCACCTTGACCTAAGAGGCTGCCGAACGTTATAAATTAAAAAACATCATCCTTGACATAACATTTGAATGGTTGGTGCTGAAGCTTTCCTATTTGCCAGGTATACCCGCTGAAACAAATCCTTTTTCGGGTATCGGTAACAACATCTTTGAACTCTTGACCTTGGAGTTTGACTTGCAGATACCGGTATGTGTAACCTTAACCTTTGCCATTCGGGACTATCAGTTTTATTTGACGATTTATGTCATAAATTATTGCATTAATGGTTGACTTTTCAACCACTTATGCTACATGACCGCTTATATTTAATAGAGATTGTTCTATCTGACGTATCCGTATCCGTATACGTATCCGTATCCGTATCGAGGTATGAGAGGCATCTCGATCCCGATGCTTAAACCATCTAGTTACATTTCCATCGTGTAATGTTTAGTTTTTAACCTCATTCACTAAGAAATGATATGCAATATGATATTTTTAATAAAAACATATCAGTTTCTGTACATGTCTTATGCATCCTGCTTATGGGGGGGGGGGGTAAAAGTTTAAAAATAAAATTAGAAAAACAAGTATGTTTTTTTTTAATTTAAATGTGTAAAAAATATTTCGAAAATATTTCTAGATTCACCTCTCTCTCGCGCGCGCGCTCTCTCTCTCTCTCTTTCTCAATATTAGGGTATTCATTGTTCATTCTCGAATTAACATTTATAAGAACATGAGATATCTCCAATAAAATATAATTATTTATACAGTTAAACCTCTTAAACTCAAACTTGTAAATCGTAAATACACGTAGTTGTACATTAACTGGGAAAGATTTAACCATACATTGTAGGGCAAAACAAATGTGTATGGGTGATTCACTGAAAATTTCCATCCTCTTTTCCTTTTTTATCATCTTCTATGCCATTCATTATCAGGTATTTGATGGTCATAGTCCCCCCCCCCCCACCCACCCCAAAAAAAGAAATTGGATAGCTGGTAATGAATACACTCCCAAAATTGTAGGTCGATAGCCGTATCATGAGCGGCGGAAGCAAATAGAAAGTGGGGGCGCTAATTGAAAAGGGGGGGGGGGCTAAACCAACAAAAAAGGTAAAACCCAATTTTAAATGCCTATATTTTGTCTATCTTTGCAAAAAAAGTGGGAGGGGGGTAAAGCTCCCCCCCCCTCCGACGCCTATGCGTATCTACGGTTTCAAGGAGCTTGGGAATTGAACATGATCGAGTTTATAGTGAACAAAGCAAGCTCTGAAAAACTTATTTTCGATAACGAAAACGATATTTCATCATTGTAATTTTTCTTTAATGTGTGATTTTTTTTCTTGGCTACATTGAAGCAGTTACTTTTCTTCAATTCTATAATTTGTGCACTCTGATCTCGATCTCGGCCAAATTAAATATATATATATATATATATATATATATATAAAAGAAAGTAGGATAAAAAAGGAAAGAAAAGAAAATTAGCAGTGCGATGGACAAGTAGGCTTAGCAAAATAAGATGTATTATTTTGAAAATTTTGAGCCATAATTATTTTATTCTTTAAATTTGCATAAAAAGAGAGTTGAATACCATATTATAAAATAGATTTTATATCAATTAAACCACAAATGATGTTATGAATGAGAGTTAAAATATTTTTAACTAATTATTTTTTTGTTTGTCAAGGTTTTTCAGGGCTGATTTTTTTCTCTTTCAAATAGCCCCCTACCTACTTTTAATTTGCTTCTGCATGACGCCAATGTGAGGGGAGGGGGAAAGGAGGGAGTTACACGGGCTCTTCAAAGCATATACTCAATACTTATAACAGTCAGCGTTTTATCGATCGCGTTGATGATAACGTATTTTGTATGTGTGTGTGTGTGTGTGTGTGGAAGGGGGGGGGGGGGGTAATTGGTAAGCCGTTACATGGCGTATTAAAAATACAGACAAAATCAATGAAAGATA